GAAGGCACAATGGAACAAACTACGTTCGAACACCTCAAACTAGCCCTATGCTCCACTCCCCTACCCGTATATCCCGACTTCTTGAAGTCCTTCATTTTGCAGATTGACTCCTCCAAGGATGCGATTGGCGCTATCATTAGTCAAAACATAAGAGGGTAATGAACAGGTAGTTGCGTACCCATCTCGGCGACTTTCAAAAGCTGAGAAGAACTACAATATCAACAACAAAGAGGGCCTAGCAGTCATTTTCATAGTTAAACATTATCAATCCTACCTACATGGATCCCGCTTCCTGGTGGAAATTGACCACGCTCCACTCTGAGCTCTCATGAAATCACGAGAGCTCACATGCCGACTAGCTCGCTAGGCGTTGCTCCTACATTCATATGAATGTGAAATCATCTACAAACCGGAGAGGCTACACAAGAACATAGACGCTCTCACCCAATCCGAGGCAGTTGTTCTCGAGTCATATACCACGTTTGCTAATCTCCTCGCAGCTCCTTATCCAGCATCCTGACCGACAACTGATCATGTTTTTTTATTATCGTTATTAACATTGTTTTATTTTAGCAACCATGTGCATTTGGAATGGTGTGAGATTTTTTTTTTTTCTTTTTTTTTTTCTTAGTTAGTATTGTTAGGCAGTTATGCAAACTCTACCCACGTATCCAATCCTTTCAAATCCACGGGCTACTGCCCACTCTCTAGTCACACTTTTCTTTGCAAACATTCTCTGTGATTACAATTTCATTAACTATTGTTGAAATTCAATGTTCAGACACTTGATACAGGCGGCTCAGGCGGAGCTCACCGAGGTAGACACTTCCTACCTCGCCTTCAACGCAATCAGTTGCTCACACCAAACATTTGATGATCACATGGAGCCCGCATTATATGATGCCATGTTGGATGCCTGCCATTCTAGTTCCATTTCGGAGGAAGTGGATAAGACCCTTGCAAAAAGAATACGATATCACCTTCTCCACTACCTCTTGCAAGGTTAAATCTTCTTTTACAAAAAGAATGTGCTCGGGGGCGCAACAATGCTTCAGGTATCTAATCAATTAGAATTGCCGCAAAATTCAGAATTGTACCACTCATTTAGACTAGCAGGTCACTTTGCGGTAAAATAGACACTCTGCAGGTTGCAAGAATTGTACCACTGGATAGAAATGGTGGGCGACGTGATGAATTTCATCAAAGCATGTGAGATATTCTAGGTGAAGAAAACATATTCCATGACATTCGAGTTGCACCTGCTCACACCCATTTCCGTCACTGAGTAAGTTGCCAACGTAGGATTAGACTTGATGGGACCTCTGATGACAACAACTGAGAAACACAAATACATGATTGTTGCAACTGACTACTTAACAAAGTGGGTAGAAGTTCGACCACTTGTATCCAAAGACTACAAAAACATAGCACAGTTCTTCTTAGACAAGGTGATCATGACACACAGCAGCCCTCACAAGTTCCTCACCAACAATAGCTCTGAATTTTGCAATGCTTTGGTAGATATACTAACTGTGCAGATGAGAGTCAAATACACCATGATGTCTCCACATCACTTTCAATGCAATGGCTTGACAAAACGTTTTAATTAAACATTATGTTTGCTTTTTGATCCCAACAGTTTGTATGATGAACATTGGCATACAATGCTTCCTACAATCATTTTTGCATATAAAACCAGTGTGCATTCATCTACTGGGTCTTGCCCTTCAAATTCATATATGGGCTATAAATCATCATTGCTCATGGCTCCAAACCAAATGGGTGTGATTATCAAATCTCCAGCGGACTTGGGGTGCCAAGATGAGGATTTCCTACAATATTAAGAACATCTTTGGACCACTAGGCACCTAAATGTTGCCAAAGAGCAGTGCATGCAGAAAGAAGGCCATGACAAACTTATCAAGTACACAAGGCTATTCACCATTGAAGATTTAACATTTTAGAGGAAAGAAAAGTGATGTGAAAAGAAAAAAAAAAGTTCCATGCAAAGTATATTGATTCATACCACATTATTGCACAAGATGAACCTCAATACAAGTTTTTTCTTGTATCCATGTGGTCAAACATTGAGCTAATTTCCTTCATGGTACCAAGTTTCAATCTCATGCCACATGCATTGGATTCAAATCTTACTCACATCAACAATATTGGCAGAGAACTTATGTATTCAAACATTGCAAATATATTTATTGCCATGGATTCCATATAGGAGAAGTAGCCCTATACATGTAGAGATAAGAATTGGAATGAGTCACAATCTTGCATAAGCCAATTAAATGAATAGGCTATCTAGAACTTAGGAAGATTATCATTTGTATTATGTTAAATTAATATAAGAACCCTAACTTTAATTGAACAGTCAAGTATTGGGCATTGTTCATTCATCGTGGGCATCCAACATCTATGACAGTCTTGCATCTCTCTATGTTTCTTTTGATGCCATGTGTACTCAACATGATGCAGCTACAACTGACAAAATAGTTGCCTCATGCAAACTCCCATTGCACCAATGTTCATTACACCCTTGTCATGATCAGTCAAAACACAAGATTAGAGCTCAACCAAATATTAGTCCTACATCCACCTCATCTTTTCTTCTTAGTGTTTTTGGACTTATTTTTTTAGATATAAAACCAACTCAAGGAGGTTTTGTAATTTCAATCAATCATAACATTTACAAGTTTGTGACTCTCACCTTATTTCCAAAGTATAAAGTACCCCTAAGATGAAAAGATTAACAAAAAGATAAAAACATTCCTAGAATGCTGAGTTAATTTTATAATTACCTCAATTCATCAAAACAATGTGACCACATTTTGATAAAGAGATCATAACAAAATAACAGAATCATTACACAAACAAATATGATTCTTTATTATATAATTTTTTTTAAAAATCCAAAATGAAAACTTTTACATACTGTGTTTTAAATGTGTGAATGAACTTTAAGTAAAACCACAAAAGGATATTCTAAAAACAAATATGATAATAAAAATAAAGAAAGAAAGGAAACACATGAACACACAAATATGATATTTTCACATAGGGTTTCAGAAAAATCTTTCAAGAATTGTTTAAAAATTTGTTCCAACCTACACAATCCATCCAAAGTCATGAACTCTCTCTCACACATACATACAGTGTCATTAATGTACATGCACAAATGCACAAGACAAGGATTTCAACTTAAGTTGGTCATTCACAATAACTGTTCAAGCTTCCAAGCATGCCCCAAACGCTCCACTTCTAAGAATCCACATTGAAAGGGGAGAAAAATCCTTGCCAAGAGACACACCTCCACTCTTCCCTTTGTCAACACTAAATAAATGGGCAAGACTTCTTTGTTGCTGCAGCTGTTATGCTTGCATGGGAAGCACATGGTGAGCATATGGAGCAACACAAACAGCAAGCAAGCATAGCAGGACCATATACCTCCTAAACCCTAACACAGGCTCCATCCATGACCTCCATGTGACCATGCAAAACTGCACAATCACAATAAACACCGAGCCAAGCAGGCTGGCACCACCACCCCAACATACCAAAACAATCAGCAATTGGGTTCTCATGAGTGACAAAGTCTGCACAATGATCCACCCTTCTGTCTGTGTGGGCTTCAGAGTTGCAGCTAAGCCTGCAGGCAAAGGTGGCTGTCCTGCCTTGCTCTGAGTGAGTGAATGAGTGCACAAACACCATGAGGTGGGGATGGTGGTAGTAGTAGTTCTTGTACTACCACCACTACCAGCAGCAATAAATAAATATATAAATATATACATACATTTCTACTTGGATGATCTTTTTCTTAATTATATTTTTCTAAAGGATGGTGTATGTTTTGAATTTAGTAGTTGCATAATTTAATCTTGGCAATAAAGTGACATGCCCATGTGTGGATCTTTTAGAAGTGATTGCTTGGTGCAAGGTGACTAAATTTAAGCTTTTTTTTTTTAATTTTAATAATAGCTCATTTTTAGTGGCATATGAAGGAGAAATAGAATAAAATTCTTGCCACAATATCTATTAAAAATATGCTTAATTACACAAATTGTTATTAGATGAAGCTTTGACTAAAATTTGGCACAAATCTAACAACAATGTGTTGGTGATATAACAAAATAAAATATCAACAATGTGTTAAATGAATGCTTTCTTTTAAAGTTCAATACAACATGACATTTATTACTTTTGTAGATTCTATCCATACTAGCAAAGTTGAGCATTTAATGAATATAGAAGAATTCAAAATATTTACACCTTGAAATGAACCTTGGCATAGTTATTGATGTCAAAGTCCACAAAGTTTACCATGGACATCTTCAATATTTTTTTGATGTAGAAAATATTAGCATGTTTTAAGTCACATTTTTTATGCTCAAGAACATTTGGATCTGCTTGTTGTGATACAACAGTAGGGTTACACTAATAGTTATACTTGCAATGTTACCTCCTCCCTCTCTGCGCTACCATCAAGCAATCTTTGCAATGCTGTGTCATTTTTGATGAGCATTGAAACCAACTGCTTAGTAAAGACTCATTTGTGATAAAATTGTAGGTTATTCCACTGTTTTCAATGTATCTCATCCCATGACATGACATGATAACTATGCCAAGTTTGAATACTGACCTTTTCAACAGCGTAATCCCAGAGTTCTAATTTTTTTGAGGGTCTGTGAACTGCTCATAATTACTTGCTTTAACATCTTCACTTTAAACTCATACTCATTCAGACAAAGGTCAAGACTAGCTCTAGACCCAGGAACCCTATTTCCACTAGTAGGTCAGCGTCTGAGAGGACAGCCACATGAGGCCCAACCTGCACTTGGAGTATGAGCTGCACTGTAGAAGTGAAGATTTTGTACTTCGTTTCTCGTCAGAAAGGAGTTCGAAGGGTTAGAAGTGGCAGGGCAAGGGTCTCCTCTTATCTTACTGATGAGTTGGGTAAGCAACCAACTTGAAACGCCGCGGGAGTATACAGGTGGTTCTTAATAGGTAATTTGACAGCGTTACACTGTTAATGTTAACTTGGAGTGAGTACATTGGTGAATCTCACTGAATTTGAGTTTGATAGCTAGTTCTGTCTTCTAAAAGTAGATGCGGATACAGAAAGTAATAGCATAGACGATCAGAGTAATGCAACTATCTAGGAGACTATTAGCCTGCTACAGGACTGCCTCAACCATGTCAAGTCCACTTGTAAGGTGGAAAATCGTGCGCTGAATTCAACTGGTGCCAAACTAACTGTCAGGACTAACTGGCCCCGAACTAGCTGACATCACGAATTCCTTTGCAACCATCTGTAAGTCATGAGATCTACTCAGCTTGTCTATTCAACATACAGCGAGAAGATATTTCCTATATTAAGCTGCCCATCCTCATCTATTTTCCACATAGCACTGCTGCAAGTTCTTGAGATAAGCTCGTAATATGTCATTGTTAAGGTTTGAATATTGCAAGCATAGGAGCTTCTGGGCTATATGGTAGTCTTTACGCAGGTGTCCATACTTGGCGTGGGCGATGGAGACATTATTCTTTTCCTGAGAAATATCAGATGAAACCGTGACAAAACTTCAGGTCCCTGTCATAGTGCAGAAACATTACCTCGAGTCTACTTACTCGGCTCCACGATAGGTCGTATTGTACCGCTTTAAAGCAACCATTAAATCCAGGCTTGACAATATACCTTTCCATCTCAGGAAACTAATCAGCCTCGGTTTGAATACTTACCTTCGCATCAATTTTAGCTGCTATGCATTTAGCATCATTTATAACAGATGTAGGAATGCCGGCAAACTCGGCTAGACGTATGCCGTAATGTGCAACGTTTGTACACCCTTCTCGAAGTAGAAACTGATGTACCAAGTTGTTCGGGTAAGTCCATCTTAAAAAAATTCACAACCTATGGTGGAAAATTAAACCCCGAAATTCAAATGCCATCATACAAGCTTCAAAGTTTTCTAGGATAAGTTTGGAGAACAACCTACCCTAAAAACGATCACATAAAACAGGATAGGCTTGAGGGAAGATCTAACCTTGAAATCCAGCCGGTTATTGAGGATACTCGCGTCAAAATAGCAAACTCGCACATTAGGGTAAACGCTTGATAATTCTGTCAGTCGTTGCATGTGTGTGGCGAAAAGGACATAGCTGCCGTTCAAAACTCGGTAAGATTTTCGATAATAAAGTAATCATGAAAGCTATTTCGATTAATTGGAGAATTATCCTTATCGAAGCAAAAGTAGTCTATGATCTATGTTTTGCAAGCTTCTCTGCTCTGTGTGTGTAGAACATGAAACTATACTGGGAGGTGTTCTAGTGTTTCCCGCAGTGAAGGTCAAGGTTTAAGCCTTACGCCTTGAAGGACAACATGTATTCACAGCAACTCCATGCAATAGCAAAGCCATCCCCAGTTGACGTTGCTCTGCCCAACTCGTCAACCACCACGAGGCTTCTGCATAGAGGATCAATGGCGCTAGTTTCAATTAAGATCCTGCGTAGAGCCACCAACGCAGAACCGAGGCTTCACTGAAACACTGCTAACATCATCCATGTATGGAACAAAGTGATTGCTAGTATCAGTAATTCAAGTATAGAGAGCCTCTACCTTGAAGTTAGATTATTTAGTAGATATGCCGTCTCCCTCATCTCGGTCATAAACTGCACAGAAGAGGAGCACTCCCTCAATTCAGTTCAAGGAGGAGCATGAACCACATGGTCACCAAGGAATTTCCACCATAGATTTTACGTCTGACAATTTGAAATTGGACTCAATTTTTCCCCGCTTACAAGCCCATTCAGCAAACATTAACTTTCTAAGCACTGATCCCGCAGTACAATGCATTTTCGTGTAGCGGAAATTGGCAGTTGAGGACTGAAGAGCGTACGGTGCTAGAATTTAATTCTATATTGTCGGAAGTCCCGATGCGAGTAAAAATATTGTCTACTACACGAAATGAAGCAAATCGAGCTGGCACGTAACATCCAATATGTGCCATTATCGTTATGAGCACTACTTGGCGCAAGTAGGTACTCTTGCCGCTCCTGGTTGGAGAAAATCATCAAGTTATTCTCAAGGGATTTTTAAAAAAATTATAATTTCTATGCCGCTCTGCAGTCCAAACTAAGACTGCGGTAACGACATCGCAATAACAACAGATCGATTTTTGTGTGAAACTATACTCCAGTCACCTAATACTTCTCAGGCTGTTATCAGACGCGTACATGTTGGGTCCTGTCACAATCATAGTATTTGACGCTTCTGATAAAAAAGCGTTATTGGCCTGTATAAATATCCATAAGGCATCATGTGAGAGGATAATCTTGCACAAGTAACGGCATACAATTAAGGAGTGTTTTCCACTGCCAGAGCCCTCAACAGCGATGTATGTAACTCAAGTTTCTTCAAAATGTGAAAAACATTAAAAAAATAAAAAATAAAAAATTCATATCGAGGGGATGCGTTACCTTATCATCAGGATAGCATTGTTCTCAGGGCCTAGATTGATTTTTCACAAGAATCAAAACAACATTGGAAGAACACAAATAGAGGTTAGGAGCGCTAGCTGTACCACGAATTCTCCAGGTATGGTGCTTTCCAACACAGGGTGTCTGCCTTTTTCAATCGCCACAGGGCCAGTTTCTAAAACAAGAAGAAATGATTGTTACACCCTTCACCTAATAACAGTGCTCTTAGTGTGCTCAAAAGTTATATATACGGAAGTTTTTACCTGTAAATTCTGGTCTGATGTAACTCTCTTCAGGATTCGTTGATATCAGATTAGCAAAAGAGTTCACCATCATATCCAGAAGGGCAAGGGACTCGGACAATGATGTTAGGAGACGAAGATCCTCTCTGATTCGAGTGATCAGCTCTGCGACAATCATATTTCCAACCATGTCGTGACAACTCCATATACGAAAGATATGGACTACTGTTCTACTCCTATTACCTCCTACTGTAAGGTTGCTAAAAGGCAGGGAACCGAATTAACTTCAAATATGAAAATTAACTATGCGGCTACTGAATAGACTCCAGTCTGCATCTTAAGCTAAAGTAAAATGGATTCTACTTGAATATGCTATCTACAAATAGGGAATTTTAAGTAAGACCTCCAAGACACAAAGATGTTCGTTTGTAGCATTCTGCTGCGGCTTCCATATTCCTGTCGTTCAACTTGGAGACCACAACAAAGTTAAAGCTGTCAAATACTGCAAACTATTACAACCACTAAGTCAATCTCAAACATAACATCACGTACGAAGAGGTAGAGTTAAGAAAACAATAAGAAAAGCATACAAGCGATATTTAATCAAAATCTTGGTAAATGATCCTTACGGACGTCAGCTCGGATGTGGAGCAACAGATGATCTTTTCTTTCTTTATCACCTGAAGACATGCTACAAAAGTTACCGATAATGTAAAAACAAACATTTTAAGGGCTTTTCCTGCTGCTTAGCCCTCCAACACTAATCATGATAGACCTAAACTGTTCTAAGAGATGGGCATGCAATCACTTCAAAGATGTAGATGTCTTATTTTGTGTTAATTATGGTAATATTTAGAACATAGCCATTTGGTCAATCTGGTTGTGGATCGTGAATATTTCAGAGAAGCGCATATGGAGACCTGGTTGAATATTGAAGGTATGGAAGTTTGTTTCAAATCCTTCTCTGGAAAGCTGATGTAAAATCCACGATTGTTATTGAAGGGCATCTTCAAGTTCGGAAGGTTGAATTCTTCTCTATATCTCCTGGCCAGCTCATGAATTGCTGGAGACAAACAAATGTTATTGATGCCTCCGAGCTAATACTTCATTTTCTTTTGATTGACATGAGACAGTTATTTTAGAGCATCGTAAAACATTGGCAGTTTACCTTCACTAGTTGAAGAAAAGACTTCGCGTGCGACGTCAAGATAGCCGTCAATGCCACTTTTAACTGCAAAGCATTGCTGTGTACGAGACAAGAACAGTGCCCTTGAATGTACGATGTCCTCGTTGATGACTTCCTCAATTCTGTGTTCGAAAATTCAGGTTAAGGTCAAGAAAATACTTGTGGGTTCACAAATTTTAAATAAGATGATACAAATCGAGAAGTGCGCTAATTGAACATAGCCAAATTTCTCATACCTCTGCAGAAGTAGACGGAAGGATGGATTAGCACAAATGTCCTTGATGTTCCTTAGGAGAGAGCACTTCGCACCTTGCAACGCCTACAATTGTCATGATTGGGATATTCAAATGCCGACTCTAACAGTGCGGATTGTAATGGCTGAGACGTAGTTTACCGAGGACTACATTTGAGAGTGTTCACATCAACAAGGAAACGTAATGAAAAGATAGCGCTCAAGTACCTCTTGAAGAGTAGGTAAGTGGTCAAGGGCTTCCTTCAGAAGAATGATGTTACTAACCATAAACTGGCCAGCTCGTGTGGTCGATTTCGTGGTGGAATCATTGCTTACCTTAGCCTTAAAGCAAAAGGAGCAGAGAATACGATCTTGCGCATGAAAATGTCAGCGTCAATAAGGTTTTATTTTTTCAACAGCTAAACATGTAAACGAAATAACAGTGGCAGCACCTACCCACGCGGAGACCAAATTTTGGAAGGTCATTACATATGAGTGGTACTTCAGAAGAAGACAGTATTCAACATTTATTGACATTATTTGACCAATACAAAAAATCATTCGGAAGATGGTTTGCATAGACCTGTACCTATGTCCTTGGGAAACATCTCAAGAGCTCGTGAGATTCCGAAAAATATCTTGTCATCACTTGTGAGCTCATCCTGCTTATGTCAGATTCGACGGAAAGAGAACCAGAAGAGAGAAATCATTTTAAAGCACCCGCAGAATAGAGAAACATTCAGTCATATGACAGGCAGAAAAATTTGAGATAGACATCTCTTTCTTAACGTAAACACCCATGCTGCAGCTCATTTATCATAACTCAGTTTATGTCATAACTCTTAGACAAGCTCTGGTAACATAGAACCGATAAGAGTACGATATCACGGAGGTAGTGAACAAGGGAAGAGACAATAGAAAAATAAAGTGAAGAGGCCATTATTGTCACTTATTAATCAAATGGATATCGTATTGAATCATGCGTATCTTCTTAAGAATCTTCTGCTAATTCATCTTTCCATCAAATATTATGAAACAATACGTAAGAGTGCGAACGTTGTCGAAAATTAAGTTGTGCTCTTCAAAGACTTACCAAGCAATCCAGGCGGGTGTTGATAGTGTTCTTGTCCTTCAATGGCTGAAGAAGATTGGCCCTTAATAGGCGAGTTCTGCGATTCGCCGGAAAAGTTATGAGTTTTACAGTCACAAAAATAATCTACGAGAACGATCTGTATGAGTGTAAACAAGTAGTAGTGTTTACTGAGCAGGTTCATGCTCAACTTACCCTCCAGCAGTCTTGGTGGTCTTAAGCATCTCGAAAAGGCAACCTCGCTTCTTTTGTGGTCCGACTTGAATATGAAGCGATTCCACTAACTCCAAATTTTGTACACTGCACAGATAAATATGGCTATTATAGACTGAAGAACTAGGGCTAATCTCCAGTATCGAATGTGGTTGTTTGTATATTCCACCATGAATTACTGTAGACCATATTCTGCAATACCATATACACAAGTGTAGCATTGAGGCGTTCCTGATGCTGAAGGAACGCGTGACATATACTGAAGAAAAACTAACATCGACCTTATTGATGAAAACGCTGTGCAAATGAGAGCCAAGTCTATCAATCTTTAGAAACATATGGAACATTTATTTTCGACATGAGCCTCACCTTGTTCCATCAATATTCATGTGGTCGAAGGATCCATTGAGAGTAACCTGGTAATTACGTTATCACCATGGTTTTGCCATACCAACTGGATAATCACTCTACGAATATTCGGGCTTTTGAAGCACAACATAAATACCACAAGATTGAATACTAGGAATAAAAAGTTCACTTCCTTACTGTAATCCATAGAAAATTTTAGGAAAAGTTTTATTTCAGAGCTTACCTCTACGGATCGATTTGCAAGTGTGATGCCTTTCTCACGATCAATCCTGAACTTCACAAAATTCAGGATCAAAACTAGTAATTCTTTGCCTAAGTCCAGAACGTGATTTTTTATGAATTTACGAACCTAATACAGCTCCAGCTCTAAACTGTAGACAAATGGCGGCATTGAAAAGTTAACCTCGTTTACGAACCTCTATTTACGTTAACCGATTCATTACTAAAGTTTATTGAAATGATAATATACTTTTAACTGGTTATCTATAGCGACTGCACTCTCGATAATAAATATACCATCTGAACAATGCCGCAGCAGCACCGAGACAGAGATAGTATTGTTTATACGAAGCTTCCAATGTACTGTTGAGTGCTTCGTTGAGGACCAAATTCTGAACCAATATAGCTCCCTAAGTGCACAAAATTTTCAAGTTTATAGTGAGTGAGCAATTACACGACATCCTTGTCACACCTATGCGCATGAAGCGAAGCTACATCCGCCCAGAACTGTCATTTCTACGAAATTCGGGGTATTAACTCAGACTAAATTCTGCATAAAACGACTTTTCTATACTGAGTATCGCATCAACGCCAAGTGGTATTACATATAAAGCTTTGAAAAATCCCTTATATTAAGCATGCACTTCGCTAATTAAGGAAAAATTATTAAGAAGAAAAAAAAGGACATTCGTATTTCGCAATAAGGGAATCCAACAGTTATAAAGGCACCTTCGTATCATCGAAACAACTTCGGGATAATATCACCTGCAGAGTACGAAGACTAGATACACAATTATTAGCATCATGGTGCATGATTTCTCAGCATGGTGGTTTTGATGAATTAGATACGAAGATGCATCAAATTAAAAATTCTTTTAAAGCTCAAATGCAAAGAGACACACCTTTGAAGCTGAAGTACATTGGTTAACTACTGAGGTCAATCCAATTATGCCTTGAGGCGTAATCATATTAGCTGGTGTAACAATATCCGTCGGATCGAAGTACTGAAGCAACGTTGTAGTATTTTGATATGAACGACTGGTTTCTATGAACTGCGATAAATGTAGCTTTGCAGTTCTGAGGTCAAATGCCGCTAGACCGACCTACAAAAACATGTTCACCATATACTCTAAGTGCCATCCACACTCGCTAATAGTGATAACGTTTTTCTGCAAACGATTGCTACACGTTGATGCCAAATTCTAGTCTCACTCCAAACCATCCTTCTTCAAAGCTACATCATCGTGCCTCTATAAGAGATGATAATGTTACAAGAATTCAGAGAAAGCAAAATTCAAGCAACTCGTGCACATGCTTCTTTCTCGTGTTAGGTATCTCAATAAACACACGACTTTTCTGAAGCAGAAGCCATCAAGGGATGACAGACTGGCATTTTCCATAATCGTAACAGCTCCTACTCCCACTAAAACCTCCTTGACCGGAGCTTTCACTACACGGCATTTCACACGATGTAATGCAACGATCTATTACGCTAGAACTTGCTGCACAGTGTACCTCCTTAGCTCGATTCTCAATGAGAGAGACAACGAACGAGCTTGCTGCATCCGCCATGGCGAGATCGCTGAGCTGCGGTCTCAAATTGCAAGAATGATAAAAAGCGCATCACACGGATCGGAACGCTCAACTGTTTATCTCTATTAAAGGCATGACGGTGTGAACAGAGGCACGGCACATGAGGCTCGGTACCGCACCTGTCAAATTCTAGGTTCGGCACTGTCGACTCCTGAGCCTAAATTCTCAGAGGGGAACATCTGTGTTAAAGAAATGCAACGCGCAAGCTCGTAGAAGCGGGCTCCGATTGCACTAGACGAAACAAATTGTTTAAGTCGACAACTGGCAGGCCTCTAATACAATGCACGTTGATTTTACTTTCACGTCCCGCCACTACGCCCTACTCGGCTGAGGTTTAGGTTTCTTGACACATGGAAGTTTTGACTTAGTTTGTAGCATTTGGTAACGATTGGTGATGCTTGACAATGAAGGTGATCGTTTTTCTCATTTCTGTCATCTTCTTCTTCTTGTTGTTCTACTTCCTTTTTTTTTTTTTTTTTTTTTTTTTTTTGATTTTTTGATTTTTTGGTATCGACTTGGTTTCATGAAATTGAATACTGTTGAGTTGTTGTATGTTTTGAAACTCTATTGTGAGAATTTTTTCGCTGCTCAGTGGCACGGGTGTCAATTTTGTGCTGTTGTTGGAGATGGTTTTGGAGTGCCGATTGAAGGATTATTCTTTCCTCAGTGAATTTGCGAATTTAAGTGATGTCGGTCGAATTGGTTCCCGTCGAAGCTGGGTGAGTTGAATTTTTGTGATTTTTCGCAGCGTCATAGTCAGCCTGATGAAGATGAGACGCCTGAAGCTTCGCACCAGACAAAGACCCGTCGGATATCACCTACGGGAAGGAGAGTAAGTGATGAAGAAGGATCAGGTGATCTTGATTTGAATGCTACCCCTCTAGGATTCGACCTCAATGCTCCAGTGGAAGAGGAGGATGTCTTGCAAGCCAACAACAACTGGCTGAGTTCTCATCAGGACGTAGAGAACAAGGCTGAAATTGACGAGGCATTGAGAATAAATTCTCTTCCATCAGAGGCTTCATCTCTTGATCAATCGAAGGCAGAAACTGTGCCTCTCGTAGGTCACGATAGTGTGCAGGCGGTGATAAAGTCGGAGGATGTCTATGAACCTCGACATCCAATCCCTGATGAAGGTGATTGCTTTGCGTTTCATTTTACAATAATTGACAAATGAATCTCGACTTTATTTCCAAGTTGTTACATTTACTTTTCCTCTTGATATCTTTTTAGAATATTTGATTTTCAAAATGCAATATACAAAGCTTACTTGAAAGATATGTCTGAAGCTCCACTGTTATTATTTTTAGCTTATATGTTTTAAATGGATTGATATCTTATATCTTAAATCAATTCAGTAGGTCTCAATTTATTGTCATGATGATTGAGTCAGATAGTCGCAAGCCAGGGTGTTTTGCTGTTTTCTGCATATGCAATGCAGTTCTAAATGGATGGCTCAAACCTGCCTATGTTCTAATCCTTCGTAAAAAAGCAGATCCTGTTGGGCTTAGTCCGAAAGAGGAAGAGGGCTCAGATCAAGGGGAGTCCCCGTTCGTGAAAGCAGAGGAAATCGAGGATTTGGAAGAGAAACCCCAAGTTACAGTTCCAGCTGTTTTCTGTCGGCCATTTGAACCTGTATCCTTTAATTCACGTGGAACAAATATGTTTCTAGAAGTGAACAAACGGCAAATAATACTTGACAATGCTTACAAGGGTTTAGAGCCAGTTCCATCTCACATGAAATGTCCAGAATTAAATTATCATCCATCTTTTTTTCTTAATTTTTCCTCCTGGCTGCAATTTTTCTTGGTATTTTTTTTTAGTGTGCGGTTTAATTGTAACATTTCCTAACCACATATACGACAGTTAAACCTCACCGCATCTGATGAAGGTACTGATCTTTTGATGGATTAATCTGCATGTGCAGCTGTAGTGGTTGCCGCATGCTCTTTTTGATGCCGACTTTTATAATCATTTCTCGGTTAATATATGCCCTCAGTTTTTATGTCATTATGGAATATGGAAATCAACTGGCTTCTTGACTGATGGCTTCCTCTTTGCCCTTCTTTTCAGAACTGGAAATCCTTAGATCCGTGTGGAGCGCGTGGCAGCAGGAAGATGTGGAGGCTCTAGATATGACAATGGCAGACACGTTAGAAGAGCTAGGAAAGCATGCTTTGAATCCTAATCGTTATCTTCTTCTGAGCTCTATATATGTAGCAAAGAAGCTTCCCGAAGCATTCAGCCTACCTCGAACAGTCAAGGTAACTCCTCTCGTTGGTTTCTAAAATGTCGTATGATTTGCATGTCTCTGAAATATACACTGAAAAGTAAATTTATATCTTCGTTACTTTTAGGTGAACCCCACTAACATTTTGTTTGAAAATGTTTGACTAAAGTTTTGCCATGGTCGCCCTACTCTGTAGCACGTGTCTTTCTCTCTCTCTGAAATGACTCCTCAATTGGTGCAGGTCTTGCTCACCTTCTTGGAATCAGCGGCTGCGCAAACAGTGGTTAAGCGTCAAAGTTTGCTTCCAATGCTGGCGTGCAAACTTCTCTTTCGAGCTTTTGCTGGAGAACCTGACTGGCCGATTGAGTTTGTACAGGTAGTCATCTACCCCGGAATGTTTTCTGAGCACGTTCAGCATTGTTGATCAGTGGATTCAGTTGGCCAATGTATATCCACATTAGAAGTTTGATGTTTCTTAGGTCAGTAAACAGAAAGGGGAACTTCTACCGAAATGTGCTGGTGTTGGGTGCATCAGTTATTGAAAGTAGAAGGTCTGAGAATGTTTCTGAGATTCCATTTTGACTTTTCGACTTTTATTTGTTGATCTCCATCGATGTAAGTATGGTGCTTTCAGGGTTGTGACTCTGGCTTTTGAGCTGCACCATCCTTACATATCCTGTAATTATTTTTTTCACTGGTCAGGGTCCAGAAGCTTGTTTGTATGTTTTTAACTATTATATATAGTCTTTACGGGCTAGGAACTTTGTGCATTAGTTCTATCGATTTTGAAGTTGCAATCAATACCTAATGCCCACTAAGAATGATCGATGTAATAATGAATGAGTTTTAGCTACTTTTCTATGACGTTTGTATTCAAGATCAGTGACAATTATATAGCTGACTTTTTTAGTGATGGTCGTTATCCAGTTGCCAGAATTTGTGGCACTTGATTTTGAATTCTGCCTTGATAGTGATTGTTATTCATTAGGTGTCCTGAGCACAATCCATGTTACGCAGGTTTATCTGTTGGATTCCACTGGTTCTCGTGCCTGGATTGATCATGAAGGATGTAAGGAGTTTGTCTCTAATGTATTGACGGCTTTTCCCGACTCAGTGCTCGTAAGTTATCTTGTCCGTATATGTGAATAGTTAGCTTTTCAAAGATTTTCTTGTTCCATGAATTTCAATTAGATTTGTTGTCAAGAGTTCGCACTTTTCTGACATGCTTTGATTTAATGATTGCACGTTTTCCCTTACTGGGTGTTCTTTGTGGCGTTCTTCGTTGGGATAGGATGTTTCTGAGGACACCACTGGTCCGAAATCTTCGGAACAAGTGTAAGCTAAATATACCTCTTAACTGTATCTTATAATGAGTTTTCTAACTTACTAGTGTGGAGATTCTTCTAGAGAGAAAGAACTCCCTATGCAAGTTCCCTGTTATGTTGTCATCTTTAACCGTAGCTGCCCGATTCTTGGGTAATTGTGCTAAGATTTTTGCATCTAAGGAATGCCGTGTAGTGTTTGAGTCTTAGAGTGTCATAATCATTGTCACTCAATTAGAATGATGAATCACTCGGAAAGACCTCGTGTTGTTGTGCTCTTTATATGGTTGGATTCTTTTTTGTAGAACGATGTTGTTGGCAGGAAGCAATTAGTAGCTCACTTGAAATAGTATTGACAACATCTCTTATTGTTATGAATCTCTAGAGGAACTGGAGATTCGCAGCAAATTCAAGGTGTTAAAGCAGAAGGTCATGGCATGGTATGTTTTGATTTCTGCTTTGCTATATTCCTTTTAACCTAAGTCTTCATACTCAACTGTATGAGACAATTTGCTTCCCCTGGGGGAAATGTCATGATTATACCAAGGATAGGCTTTATTGTATCATCGAACCGTTTGGTGGAATCCACTGAGATTGAAATCGCTGATGATTACCTGTTGTGGTTCTGTTTATGTTCAACTAGCAGTCAGCAATTAAAAATAGGTATTCACAAGGAGAAATGCAACAGAAAGTTCGAGCCGAGTTTTGTCAGTCTCTAAATCAACTGTTAGGAGCAGCAATGTCCAAGGAAAACCCTCGACAACTTATAAGGTATAATGTTCAGCTCTTTTGCACCTTTTGTCCTTAATTTTATGTACGTTTTGATTTCATAAGCGAGTGCAATTCAGATCTAAGCTGCTGCAATGAAGTTTTGAAAGGAAGATCCTGTGATTTGATGAATATTACAAGTACAGCTGCAAACTCAAACATCAATTTTGTTATTCTTTTAATCCCTTTTTCCCTCTGATCAGGCTACTCATGCAAGGTGCTGGCTTTGAGGAGGTAAGAGTGGTGGCTTCAAGTATGTTAGAGGGTTGGTTAAACAACCCAGTTCACTTGCGATCTGCCAAAACTCTCCTAGATCGGATTCTTCAGCATACGCGTGGAACGAGTGAAAACGATTTTAATACTGTTGCAAACTTGCTCGCTCTTCGCGTTTCCTCAACCCAAGCTCCCGGGCAGGTTCATACCCTCACAATTAACAATCCATGTTGCAATAAGCCCATATAAATACTTGCAATAGTAGGTTTTTGTAGCGTATCAGAAGAGTATGTCTTAATTTCATGTCACTGTCTGTTACCTCCTGCAATTTGTCACTGCCGCAGATATTGGTCGTTATAACATACTTAGAGCTAAAATATCTCGCAAATTATGGCTCGTTGATTCAATAGATTAATCTTCGATACTTTGTTTTTTGCCAGATAAAGACTATACACAACAACATTTTCTCTGAAATGATCACTCAGCTTGTGAGGCGTAGACCTGAGTATGCAACGCTTGCTTTGAAGGTTTGGTGCTTTACGGGTTCAATCAGCCACTCTACTTCTCAGCTAACCATCTTTCTTGACGTACCTTCATTCGTACTGAAGTTTTTCTTCCTGTTGTAGTAGCAGGTTTTTCAACACCAAATATCTGGTTTTTTGGGGCTAAGTTTTTGTGTGGTCATGGTAGACATTTGTTACAACCGAATTACAAAGCAAAAATCCCCACAATATCAAGAGTATCATTACAGTTTTGAAAGCTGTGCCATCTGAAGACAATCCTCCAGAATACGAGCTTGCTAATATTTTACAGGTTTGTTTTCTAAGTCAAAGCTAGTGAATTACGAGACACAATCATCATGCTCATCGTAGACAAAATTTCGACTGACATTTTATTTGTTTTAGAATGTTTAGTGCCGCTATGGAGGAATTTCAGATAGCAAAGAGCATGTTATGTGGACGCTAGGGATAAGGAGGCATGCAGTTTTATGGAATACGTTTATATGTTAGTATTTAACTCAATCATGCCAAAGAACTAAAAGTGAAGTTCTAATTACTTATGAACCTGAAGTAAAAGTCAAGTTGAAACCCAATCTCAAATGTTTACAATCTGACTTTAGACTTGTCGGTTCTAGGAGCTAGCAGCTAGCGATGAATCTCGTGGTCTCCTATGTGACTTTGTACGAAGGTACTTTCTAATTATCTTACCTACTTTTCGCTTCATTATCTTCCATAGTTCATGTTGCTTATCGGATGGTCTTACTTGTCGATCTAGTGCCACTAGATGTATTTCTCCTAGAAGATTACTTGTGCAGGTTTTTGAGCCTCCTGCTCAACCTAAATTTTGGTGCTTTGGTTAATAGGCGTCATTTCCTCAATGAAACACATACTTTGTCCGAACAATGGATGATTTGCGTTCTTGGGCCATGGGATGTATAACGATTAGGTTGTTGCATTTTAATCAATATCTTTTGGCAAAATTTATGATCTGACAGGATGATGAAGCAAGCAGGTGGTGAGTTTGATGTCCATGCTTTATGTCACGGTTTAATTCAGCCATGGCCACTTATGGCTGAGCAGGAGGAGTCACTTAAAGAGGCTTGGATTAACAAGGTATGGTCCTTCCATGTCCCATTCATTCTAATGTGGCCGTCCCTGAAGTTGCAGTCTTCAGAAGTTTGTAGCGTTTAATATGACTTTCTGATAGTAGTTCTGGGTATTTGTATCGATTGATGCAGTAGTTTTTTACTTTTTCTTTTCTTTTTTTCTTGTGATCCATTTCATCCATATCATGGTTTGGCATTCTGTTTCTAGTGAATAGCATTTTCTTTGTAATTGCTGACTTTGTACTTTGGTCTGCCTCCTGTTTAGCTGGTGGATCTCACATGTCAGTTACTGCTTCATGCTGCTGCCCCCTTTGTAGAGGATGAAGGCTTGTTCAATACAGTCACCTCATCATCACATTTGGGTACTACTTCAGGGACGTCTGTTTCTGGATTTGGTTTAGAGAGGTCAAGCTCTGGTGGTCCCTTAAGAGACAAATTGGCCACGTTGGAAAAGCTCAGCATTGAGACACAAAACTTTCAGGTGAGCTGTGAAATTTCTGCACGGGTTGACGTAGAGATTGGGGGTTTCTCAATGCTGATTATCAAGTATAAAGAAGATACACTGTCACTAAAATAAGTGAAAAGCTAGTATTTTTAATTCACGAATTTTTTTTAACAAAGTTGTATTATGATTTCCTTTGTCTTTTGCCCTTCAGCAGGATGCTTAGAACCGAAATCATGTTTTTGCAATTTTACAACTCAGACTGCGTTAGGAGATCACAGAGTCACCATACAGCATACATTCACTTTTGCTAATCAAGTGCTTGGTAACGGTTAACTTAGACAAATTTGTGTTGGTGATAACTAGATGCAAGCCATGGCCTGGTGCACTGACGTTTTGGCATTATATCTACCACATATTGGGCATGCACATTTCAAGAAGATAGTGCGTCAGCTGCTGTTTCTAGAAGAAGCGGAGGTAATTAATATTCGTCATTGCACCACAGTTTTACAGTCGCATCTATATTTCCGTTCTATGTTCACAAGTTAAGAGTTGATACAAAAGGCTGTGTCGGTTGCACACTCCTTCCTTGTCTGCTACCTGCGAAGGTAATGGTCTGCAAATATACAGTTTAGTTGCTGATGTTGGTGAAGTTGATGACTGATGCTCCTCTGATCGATTGCATTATTGATTAAGTCTATTTTATTGACTTACATGCCCCAGACAGATGACCATCAAATTCTAATATATTGTTTCTTCCTCTCTTGTGAAGTGGCTTTCTGCCTATCAACCATAGATTCATTTGTTTGTGATGTGTATTTTGGGTTCTTTTAACAAGATATTCAAACAATCGACTTTTCAGCTGCTTCATTGAATTTCAATTGTTTGATACTACCTCTTTGATTTGTCAAATATAATGAATATTAATGTTAACGTATAATCCACGACGAAGATAAACAATGATGACACCTAAAGTCTCAATCTAATAGTTCGTAGTGTACTATAGGCATACTTTTCACACGTGGATCCGGCAATGGACGCGGAATCAAAGTGCGTCAAATTGCTGGGAGCATGTACAAGAGCACCGGAGGAGATTGTTGCACGGTTGATCCTGATGGGAATTTCTGTACGTGTCAGCTTTACCTTCATGTACCTAACTAACTTATGTTAGGTTTGTGAAAGCTTGAGAAGAGTTCAGGATTTAATATGAATGTCAAAGATGACGAGCAAACTTGAATTCAGCTTCTGAATCTAAAAAGTTCTCTGCCTAATCTTCAAATACTTCGAAAGACTTAGGTACTTATTATTTTAGTAATGTTCAGGGATTTTGTCAAAATTAAAATTTTACCACTAGTCTCGGATATTTATTTGGGTTTATTCTTGTCGAGGTCCACCTGAATATTTTGCGGAAAGAGCGCACTTCACTGGTGTTGGTGAGTTGCGAGTGGAGCTCAAATATATCTAAACATGTCCAGGACTAGCTTACCTTTCAGAAAACATTTTCGATGCTGCTTTATCCAATAGGAGGCTGTCACAATCATCAACTTTCAATTCAAAGTAGACTTGATCCTGAGAGTAGCCTGTAGTAGTACTGCTTTGACCTCAACCGTTCTTTATTTCATCGTTCCTCTATTGTGCAGAACTTTCCAATGGAACCTGCTGAATCACTGGATATTATTGAAGTTCTCGTCTGCCGAGCTGCGAAGCTTGAAAGGTTCATGGAGGGCTCTCTTGTTGCTTCAAGTTCTCAGGTTTTTTATCCTTTACTCTCCGTCAAATCAACGCTTCCTGTTTGGACGATGCTGTATTTCTTTGTTAGACATCTTGCGCCCATCAACTGCTGTAACTTGATTGTTTTGGATTTGCAGTTGCCAGCCGCTATATTCAAACTCGCATCATTTAACTTGCGAGGTGTCACTCGGCAGCCTTTACCGCAGCTTGTGGTAGGACTCTGTCTATTGACTTTCTGAGTACTTGAAGTGAAATTTGAAACTCATTTGCGAGTCAAGACATGCGTTTACTGAAGTCTCTAGCCTTGTCTGACGTGTCTTTGTGTATTTCAAGATAGATAGCAACTTTTGTACTGTTTGCTTTTCACCTGGTAACATTGGTTGCTACAATAACTTTGTAAATTGCAGATAGTATGAGATCTTACACATATTTGGTATGAATCAAGTTCCGGACGTCTCTGGTCTAACAAATTATTCTCCCTTGCAGGTGAAAGATATGTATTGGAAGGCCTGCCTCGTGGTGCTCATTGTAGCTGTTTTTAATCTTACTACCATTGGTAATTTTGTGTGGGAAAGCATTCCTTCTCTTAGAAGCCTGATGGAGGTCCTCATTGCTGGTGACAAAGCTTTCAGATCCAACAGGTTAGATCCTTTCGTACTTGTCTTTCGCAAGTTTGTTATAAAGGTCACATTTATTGAAATTTAGAAAATCTTATTCGATCTTTACAATCTACAAAATTCGGTATCCTCTTAGAATCCTGCTGGTGCATTTGTTACTAGTTATCGATTTGCATTAATTCTTAGGTCCTATGTTGACCAATAGCATGAGTCAAACTTGAGTTGAGGATGTGACGATCAAGTTTTCTTGGCTTGAACAAGTCGAAAACACAATTTTGTATAGATACTTGCAGCGTTACCTCTTTTAACACGTACGCTTATTACTACTTGTCTAAGCTTTTATTGCGTCCAGTTGCAGTGAAGCTTCGCAGTTGGAGTTTGAAAAAACAGAAGCAGATGCAGAGCAACTCGACATGAAAGCAGAGGAGGCAGTAAAAAAAAATTTGGCTGAAAAGAAAAGTTCGGAATCTAGTATGGTAGATGGAGATGATCTGGAGAGCTCAGAGACTGAGTGGAAGGGGAAGTTAATGATTTTGAACCACTCTGGGCCCATACGCAGACCTACCCAAGTTGTATATGACAAGCTGAATAAGCTCGATGAAATGTTCCAGCTAGGACATCTGTTGAGAAAATGTCGCAATCCTGACTTTTTCTCAAAGGTGACTGCTCTTCAGGTATACCGCAGTCTATGCGCCAACAATCCGGCCATAGCGGACCTATATTTTGTTTCTGCAGATTGATTATTTGGTGCAGGTGCTCAGTGCCATAGTTTACATGTGCAGTTGTTCTATGTGGCAAGAAATGTTGAATTTTCCCCTTATGTTCTAAAACTGGTGCCATCTATTGGTCACAGACTATGCAACAGGCCTGGCCGTGGTTACAAAGTATTGTATCAAGGGAACCTGAAGTGATTTTTTACTTACCCACTGCCTGGCAGGTATACACTTCTGCCTACATCTCTACAAAAAAAAAAAAAAAAAAAAAAAAAAATCTATTTTCTACCATGTCATCGAGGCTGTTGCTACAAACTGCTAGTTATTGATTATTTCAGCTAAATAGAGTGCTTGTTTCACTTGAACAGTGTGAGCTTCTGTACATGCTAGAGGGGAGTCATCCCACCACGCAGATGTTATCAGTGGACCTTTTGCAGCTGCAAGCAGAGTTACGTGAGGTAAGTCATGTGTATATTCATCAACTGAAAATAAACAGATAAATACGTAAATGTAAAATAATTATAAAATAAATCGATTTTTGTAGATTCAGAGCTGAATGATTCTCAAAAGTCGTTCTACTGTGACAGTTTGTAATAACTTATATTATCAAAGGGAATGAAGCTTGTTTTCGGCCATTACAATTTTAACTTGGTCATTATGCTTGCAGACCGTCACCACTCCAAGCAACGAGAAGGAAATCGAAACCATAATTGGCTTTCTCGCTCAAAAGCTTATGGCCAAACAATTTTCTGTCCGATCTCGTGCACGAAGGTGCCTAAGTAGCTTATTTCATACTACTCCTAAACAACATGACACCCAAGTTTCACTTCCTCCATCACCACGAGAACATAAACGTACAGATACAGCTTCTGGAATAACAAGTAGATGGCCTGTTCACGCCATGGACACTGCACAACCTCATCACTCCAAAAAATTAATGGTTGGATCCAGTGGGACCTCATCTTTGCATGTTTCACCAGGAATTTCCTCTGGATTGGTTGTCGCTACATCTTCTGCAGAGCGGATAAGGGCGTTTTCGCAATATTCGGGCTTTGAGGACTATACAGCTTGGTTGACCTCACTGGAAAGTTTACCGACAGCCTCAAGGCTTATAGCTGTTTTATTGCCTTCTATACAGGTTGCTATACAGCAAGAAACTTCTGTTAGTGTGGTTCGTATTCTACCCTTGATGCAATACTCATTGGAAATGAATCTCCGTTCAAATATAGGTCTGAAGAGGGAGTTTCTTTGCTTATTTTTCGTCAGTATTTTTCATTTTTCTTAAATCAGGTTTGATGAGCTTTTTCTTGTTTTTTTGATTGTTTGTTTGAGGGTATGTGCCCAGTCAGAGTCTTTTGAAGTGCTCTTGCCTCTTGTGTTGTATGTTTTTGTCTCCCGCGATTCTAACTTTCGTGGGATATAAGCTTTGCCAATCCAATTTATTAGTGACCTGGTGAAGTCTTTTTTTTCCCTCTATAGTCGACATAAGACCAGGAAAAGAGTAGTCAGACGGGAACTTACTTTGTGCAAGCTATTCATTTTCATGGATTACTATTAGGTAAAACTCACATGATGAGCTTGTATGCAGGTGGTTGCGTATCTAGAATTTTTGAAAAAACACGCATCACCTCTTCCTTCGCAACAATCTATGGCTTGCATACTTGCGACTTTCATTATGCAAAGAAAAATGCTCACTGCCAGCCTCTTGTCGGGCCCATCGACACTCCCTAGTGCCTTCGTCTCGGCATGTGTGGAATCAAAGTCTCATTCTAATATAGTAGATTTGATTCTGGAGTCTCTTTGTGAAGCTTTAGAAACTGGTACGCATCCTGATTCAGTTACAGATGAGGCCGCTTCCCACTCCCACATGGTAACACTTGCGTCTCCACAAAACCTTGGAAATGAACAAGTTGTTCGACGAGTAAATCTACAGAAGGTAGTAGTAGATGCTTCACTTAAAGTGCTGTCTCTCTTAGCCTTGAAGCATAGTGATGTCGATGAAGAGAAACAAGGGTTTTCGAGGCTGTTGAGCATTCTATTTCCAGATACGCAGTTTTCTGTTGCTTGGCTCGAAGGAAGGAAGGGAGAGAAGTTGCCTTTACTTTCAGAGGATCAGGCACTTCTGTTTGCACGATGCAATGTGGCAAAGCTTATACGTGCAGGTGAATACTACACAAGATGTAGTTTTTTTTTTTTTTGGATACCTTGCAGTAGGGTTCGACGACTTCTTGTTCAGAGTTCGCATGTTTGTCACATGCTGATCCCCAGCGGTTCCTGTAACGAAAGATTTCCAGGGCTAATGCATCATATTTTTCACTTGGACATTTGGAATTCTTCTTTTTTAGCCGCCTTGATTATATTTGAATGTTACTAGTAAGGCAGCGAAGATGATTTGTGGTATGATGCGCAGGTTTGGCAGCATTATCTCTTCGATCCAAGCTCGACCTATGCGAAAAGCTGAGTTTATCTTCAACAGCCGCAACAGCCCTTCTGCAAGATCTTGATGCTGTGTCTCAAGTCAGGTAGGGTTTTTTTGTGTGTATTCCTGTCCATGAATTTGCTCAAAGTTATATTCTGGTTTCTCACTTCTTTGTGCGTTCACAAACATATCGTTGTGGGAGGCATATTTTTTGCTGCCATTACAGGTGATTACAGCACTTTGACTTAGCTATTCATATGAGCTTCAGTAATGATAATCTTTAGGACTAGGACGTGACTTGATGCGACCTGCATCTTCTGTAGGAAATACTAGTCTTTTAAGGTGGCAGGATTATGAAGAAACAGTGCAACTAAACTGATGTTTTTAAGTTAAGCAGGTTGGAAGCAGAGCTGGGTCCAAGAGGTTCCTTCTGCCGGCATGCTAAGAAACTTCAGAAATGCGTGCGTGCACTTATGCAACCAGGAAACCCATCGGGTGTTTATTTTTCAGGGTAAGCATGTATCCTGTTTTAAGATTTACTTTATACAGTTTTCAAGCAGAGTCATGGATACGCAAATCGGTATTCGTCTTATCATTCAAGTTATTCGTCTGTTGCAATGTGGTCCTTTGTTTGGAGAACTAATTTTGAGTTTTACGTTGTTATGTGCTGGTTGAACAATGTTCAGTTTCTTTCCCTTTCTATACTGGTCTTTGTTTGTTATGTAACATTCCACATTTCTGCTGAGGATGTGCAGTTTTCTGGATGCATATGCTCCTCCGGCTGTGCGAGACGTATCACAACCTCAGATACTTTTGCCTCCTTCAAAACTTGAATATTCGGATGATGTGGCTAGAAATGATTCTGGGAATGCAAGAGCTTTGACAGGGGAGGAGCTGGCTAATCAGTTGATTATCTGGCTGAAACTGCTGCCCGTTGGAACATTCTCGTCTGACCGTACTAATATTGGTCTAGAACTTACGAAGACATCACCTTATTTGGATTTTAGACACACCGTACAACAAGCCTTATTGTGTGCCAATGACGATAACGAGAGTACCGTAGTATCATCAGTTACTGCTTGTGTGCGTTCGCTAGAAAGTCTTCATTTTCATGAGTCATTATTATTAATCCTTCCAATCCTCAACATTCTTCAGAGAATTAACAGTCGTAATCTTCAGGAACTTTTGAGTGCATTTATATCCCGGATCGAGACTGGAGTTGAAGCTAATAACTTATATGATAGGATTTTGAACCAAAAGATAATCTTCAAAAAGAAGAACCTCCTACAAATGAATGAGCTTAAATGTAATGAGAGTAGCACCGATCAATTAGTTCGTATCGTCAAAAATTTGACCCTAAGAAAATTTAGTCAAGTTCCTTTACACAGAATAGAGAGGATCTTACGCTATGCACTTAGTGCAAAATTGAATTATGTTCCGGTTAACAGTGAAGATGGTGTTAGACAAGTTCCCGAGGGTGCAGGCTCAGAATATGTGAATGAAACGTTGATTTTGGAAATGTTAGATTTACTAAGGGCTTGGAAACCTAATCGTGGAAACGTTCATAAGTCTTTAGACCTGAAAGAACAAGTCGAACTGGTTGGACGGTGTGCTCTCGTTTGTGAATATCTAATGTTCTTAGATCCTGAATTTTTGTCCACATCACATCTTTCTTCTCTTTTTGAAGACTCATTTTTGTACAAAAACACCACTGTTTTCTCAATCCCTAAGCTGGCCCTGGACCTCATCACCCTGAGAAGCTCCTGGCAGAGTATATCAAGGATACTCAAAGTCATCCTGGGAGTATTTGTGAAGCAGAATGAAGGTATTCGTGAAGGAAAAATTCCAGACACAAGTGAAGCTACGTCCGCGCGTTTTGTGCGTGAGGAAGTTCGTGAAGATCCCTACCTCCAAAAGGTGCCGAGGAGGGAGGTTTTTGATGAGGCTGGTTCAATATTGGAATTTATTTTGCTATGTGTGCGGCACCCCAGGACTATTCTAGCTTGTCGCCTAAACGATGAACTGGATCCGTTTGTAAGTATCCACTTCCAACTCTATTGCTCAGACAATTTATTGCCTTTGGCATGTAAGCATTCACTTCGAGGTCTTTCTGTGACTTTCTGGTCAGTGAATTGAATCCCTTGGTCGACTTCTACTACGTTTCTCACCTCTAAATGCTTCATGTTATTCAGGGAAGCACCAAGACAATTCTTTCCTCATTCGACCATGGACTAGAAGAGGCATTGGCAACAATAGCAATTGCGGACTTGATGGTCGCAAGATCGTCAACACTTCAATTTCATCATAATTCAGATGAAAGTGACTATTCTGGCAAATTCTCTTTGAGTACCTGTGTGGTTGACCAACCAGCTTTAGTATCATCAAGTAGGGCTATGCAAGTGCTATTGGTTGCAGCTTGTCAAGGAAAACGCTTTCTCTCAACTATCATTGAACAGCTGTAAGGAAAACACTTCAAACGTCATTGTTTTTTTTTTTTTTTTCTTTTTGGTTACGACTGTCTTGAATACATTTGTCAAACTTGCTACACCTGTAATCTGACATATTTGTGCATTTGCGAGGCATTTTTGTGCTCAAATTTATCTTAATAGTATTTAAATTAACATTATTAAACTTATACTGGGTGTACTTGTCAGTAATAGAGTTGGGCAAGGGAGCTTTGCTGATGTGCTTTTTAGTCTAAACTCTAAGTCAGAAGCGAAGGAAAGCACAAGAAAAGCAGCTGCTGGCGCAGCTCAAGAGCTTTTGGCGGGCCTTTATGTAGCATTCCCAGTTTCAGTCCGGACAGTTTTGCAGTCTTTAAAAGATAAAAAATGCCAAGCTATTGACTTGTCCTCCCTCCTGCAAGATCACAAATTCATATCAAGAACATTTACTCAGGTACACTATCACAACCCCTGACTAAAAGCTCAATCTTTTCTCAAATACTTCAGTTATCTCCGATTTTATATCTCTACTAAGTTTCATCCATTGAAATTGTTAATTACAGACCTGTACATTAAATAATACTCTGCACCGTGCATTAAGATCTATTTGTAAAGGTTGTGAGAAGGAAGCCAAAGCAGCTTACGGTACATCTACTTTCCCCTTAACTATATCACCTACTCTGGATTTGTTTTCGGAATAAATGACCCCATGGGATTGTGTTCATCTTGGAATTCATGTTGTTCCGCTTTGCGTATAGACGATTTGCTAGCTGACTGGCAAATGCAAATATGTTTTCTTAGTGAGTTGTACTTTTAGTTTCTATCTGGATACTAATTTTCTTCTCCATGCCTAAAGGTTTCTGCCATGACATGGCCAGACAACATCCAGCCTTGCTAGTTCCTCATTTACCAACTTTCTCCGTCTTGCTCAAGGTAACTTGCAACTACTACCTTTTATACCGTCATTCATGTCTTCCATTCGAAATCTCGCATGCATCTGTGTTGAAGCTGGTTTCAGCAAGCAAACAGAGACTTCAATGTTTCAGAGAAATTTGGCGGTTCGAAAACATGTACGAATCCTTCACGGACAGCAAACGATTTCTATCAGGTAATCTGAAACCCTGATACCCTAACAACTTTATTTATAGATACGGCTTTCTAACTTTGCTTCTCATCTTTATCAGGAAATGTTGCCTTCAGTGAAACTGCAAGATACTCAAATTCGAACAACGGTTGCGCGTACTTACACACTTGGCATTAGCTTGCTGGATGCTTTGCGTCCATACCTGCTGGCAGATAATCAGAACAATCTTCCAATGTCCAGCAGAAAAGCTTCTTTAGAGGCCATGTTAGGGTTTTATTTTGAGTTTCTTCAATGTCTGGAGATACCGGACCGTCCTCAGTTCGCAAAAGTAGTCGCCCGTCTAGCAGACTTTCTTTGTCACTGTGTAGATGCAGGTGGTTTTTATCGAGACTACGTACTGTCCTATCGAACACCTGTTCTTCAAACTTGTGCACAGACTTTTCATAAAATTAAAAAACTAGGCTTCCTTCTTGGGATGCTTGACAAGCCAGTACAGACGTGGGCAAATACCGTACCGAAATCCTCAAGCAGTGCAGATGAAGGGAAGACTTCAATGGGTGGAAACTTGATAGGACCTCCATCGCTACCCCTGGAAGATGTTTTGAAGGTTCGGACTCAACTTCTGCAGTGTATCAGATGGCAGGGATCCAAAAAACCTCAAGATTCAAGACTGGAGCTGTTTAATACAAGAGTCAATTCATACAGCGTATGGTACGAGATGAAGGTATTCAGCGACTACTGTACAATTATTGATATTTTACCATTTGACTTATGAAGTTGCTTTCTCTGTTTTGAAAAGGTTGACCACTAATTTTTGTGATTACTCATGTGTATCATGTCGTGAAAGGGCATTAATTGATTTTTCTAAGATTTCATAACGTGTCGCATGCATGAATCAGGGACTAGACGTGGAAGAAGTCAATCTAACAGCCACGCTCTTAGACCTTGAGAGAGCCTCAGCCCGCATGCCCATGATCCTTTCTGCACTAGAGGATTCTTTACTAGAATTAACAGATGTCAGTGATTCAAACGTGCGAGATCGAGCCTATGTTCTTCTTGAACGTTTGCTACTCCATTGTCCTAGGTACAGCCACTGCTTTGTTTGCTCATTGAAGTGCTGTCATTCTGCTAGTTGCCTTTTCACATTCAATTAGTTCATACTATGTTTGTTTTCGTGAATATAGCATCAATGCATGTAGCTCGTCACTCCGTTATCTATACTAAGAACTTAAATTTAAGAAGTTCCTCAATATATAGCACTGTTCGATGGTCATCTGCATCCCCTGTCTAGGCAAACTTTATTGGTTCAACTTCTGCTTATAATCTGTGTCTGAAATAGAAACATGAGGAGCAGGCCTTGCTCTCTTGAGTTTGTCCAGTGTCTGAAAATGTAACCATGATATCTTAAGTCGTTGTTGGATGTGACAGTGAGAGCAGTGCCACCAATATTTTACAGAGGCTCCTTCAACAGCTCTCCTCATCAGATACCTCCCTAGCTAAAACAGCTGCTCGACAGGCCGTTCGATTTTTCTACTATTGTTCAGGCATGTTAATTTGATCAGGCCCGTATTTGGTCATTCAGTTTTAATTCGTTGGCGTATAAGCAATACTATTACTTCTACTACCTTACGCTCTAGACATTTTATTGTATTATTTGTTAGCAAAGTCTAAACACTCTAATGATCTTGTACACGGTTGCTTAATATGTCGGTAGCTTTTTCAGCTGTGTTCACATAATACTAGCTAAGATTTGGTAGAATCTATTCTCCGATTGCTGACCCTTGAACTCTGCTTAAATCTTATGGTTGCAGAGTTTCAGGAGACCATATTGGTGGAGATGTTACAGATGGGTCGCTTTGCCTCAGAAGATTTGCAGCAACTGCTTCTAGGTCTTTTCACAGTCTCTGGTGGCCCTTTACAATAGTTATGTCCGTAACCGTTTTTCAAATGTTGTATAGAGCGTTAACTGACATGTCATCAATTGGACGGCGAAAAAGATGCATTCTGTGCATTTTATCTAAGTGGCACTTATCGGAATAAATGAAAGGTGGTAGAGTAAAAGAGTCTTTCCACTTGAAGTGCTATGCCTTGGGATGGGATTTACCTTGAGGATATCTGAAATTCTTTGGGATGGGACTGCACGTAGCAAAATATGGTTCATTAGAACCATTTGCAATGTAATCTCATCAATACTGCTTGTGGACCAAGGTTTTGGTCTAATCATAGCATTGGAATACTCTGTAGCTACCCATTCTTTTGGCGCCTATTCCCTTCCGGCGGATAGGAACACGTTTTGATGCAGCTTGAGTATCTCCATACTAATATATAGTTGTCTTCAAATCATGAATTAATTGGTGCACATCAGAGATGCTTGTTGGTGATGGTAAAAACCATGACGGAGAGTTTATGTAACCAAATCATCAGTTCATTCTATTGTTTTCTATGCATCTATGTGTTGGCAGTCTTTCCTCTCTACACTAACGCAGTAGCAAGTGCCTTGTATGTACTTCAAACATCCAATTTCTTCAACTTTCTCCACGTTGAGTCATGAATTGGATCTTGCTTATTACCAGGATGACCTCTTCAATTTTAGGAGATATTGGCCACAAGCAACTAGTGTAAACTGTGATCACTTCTGCTACATGTGATGTCTAAGTTGCATCATTGTTGCTCTACGATGAGAGCGGAGTAATTGAAGGAGTATAGATTTCAATGATTATGGAATCTGTGGATGTATTATTTAGGTTTTTCTTTGGAGAATACGTTCTCTTTTATTTTATTTTTTTATAAAGTAGAATACTTTCCTTGGAAGTTCTATATAATATTAATTTTAGAGGCATGAATGGTCCAGTTACATTGTAGAAAATAGATGATCTACAACTTGAAAAAAAGGACTTGTATTAAGATACAATGATTGAGAAAGGATCTTATAAATTTACTAATGAAGAGAAATAGAGATTCTATGTGAGGATGTGGTATATAGGGGATAGAAAAAGTAGATGAAAGTCTAAGAAATCATATTTGGCCAATTTACCATTAGATTGGTAAGTAAATATTTTAAAATAACATACTTTTTGAATTGGATTCCTATCAACTTAAATTCTAATTATATTTCTGCCTATTATTATATTTATATTTATAAATAATGATTTTTAGATTTTATAGTATAAAAATAAATATAAAAACTAACAAAACTTGTAACAATTTGTATTGTCTAAGTTGTAAAATGATAAAGCAAGAATTACAATTTAATGCAATATAGTAATTTATAAAGTTCTGATTTGTATAGTTTATTCTTAATCAAGCATTTTTTGGAAGATTTTTTTGAAATAATATTTGAAACCAATGATCAAACATGATATCAAAATCTATAATTTTTTTCTTTTTTTCTTTTTTTGGGGTATAAAAAGCATTGTATTACAACTACTTTAGTATGAAATATTCATCTTATCATTACAAATTATATTATAATAGTTTCTTAACTTGATTTTTATTTTTCTTTTGGTAGATTTATTCAAATGTCATCAATAATAGTACTTATATCTAACAATACCACTAAGTACCACAAGTCCTTGTTTAGATTGTAATATCAAACTAATTAAATCTCACCATCAATTTGAACATATCTTAACTTCTGTTCTTATTTTAACTTTCTATAATTTAAATTATTTATTAGATATTTATAGAAAGAATAGTGTTAGACATAAATCCATTAGTGGCTGCTTCAACAATTTATTAAAAAAGAATGTAGAAATATTTACAAATATATACAAGAAAAAATATGAAAATAGTCTATAGTCAATTATTTTAAACTAGACAAAAACAATGTTATCATAATAGTTGTAGTTCAACTAAACAAATTAACCATTCTACCTTTGGTATATATAGTATTATTATTATTATTATTATTATTATTCATAGTTTTAGCAACCAATCAATTTAAATGAGTTGTTAATTTATTTTTTATTTTTATTATTTTTATCCAAATCACCACCATATTTTTCCATTCTTTTCTATCATTAATCATTTTTTAAAATTATTTTTGTAAATAGATAATCAAGTCATTTAAGATTAGAATATAATATATTATAATTATTCAAATGCAATTGTGATTGCAATAAATGAAACAATAGATCTATGATAGAAGAATTTTATTATAATTTGATTGGTGTCTTAAATATAAGCCCATAGTCTTCATTATCCCAAAAAAGTGCATTGTAAATAACTTGTAGTCCTATCAAATTAGATTAGCAAATAATTTAAGCTTAGTAAAGCCAACTGTCTACAACTTCACAAAATTTCTATTATTTTATAACTATAGAAACAACTTTAAAAACTAGAGTTTTTTATTTTAAAAACTCAAATTATTCTATATCATCTTCAAATAAACTACTATATATTACACTTACTAGACCTTATTTTTAGTCTATGGTTAGATTAAATATAAATTAATGTATCCAAAAATCACTTTTTACAAATAAAAAGTTGTAACAAAATAATAAATTGACACAAGAGTGTATTGTCCTCTTAAGTTTCTATCATTGTTTAAGAGAAATTATAAAAAAAATGATAGTTGTACAACCTAATATATGTTGAAATAAGTTTCTAGTCTATAATAGATGTTTAATAGGATTTCTAACAAATATTTATATGATTTAAATAAATAGAAGTAATTAAAAATAGTTAAAAAATGTTGGAAAGATAATATCTTCTTTATGAAGCATTGAGGGAGTTTTAGACATAGATTACATATTTAGAAATTTATAGATATGCCAAATAATTATTGAAACTTGTTCCATAAGTTTTGTTATTTTCAGAGAGTTGCATTAAAAACAATCTACAACTTAATACTTGGGCCATAAGTCTTATGGTTCCTAGAAAGCTTCTACAAGACTTTCTTCGTAACAAATATACAAAAAGCCGAGACTGAGGCCATCTTTAGTTTTATTAACAATGTCCTTCAATTATGGCTATATTTTTTCCAAACCAAATTTCTACTTATGTACAAAAGAAAACTATGAATAAAAATAATAGCATAATAATTATCATAATAATTGTTTGATTTTTTAATAAATAGAGTTGACTTTGCTTAAAAATAAATAGACTTTTTTTTTTTTTTTTTTTTTTTTTTTTAATAAGGGGCACAAATCCATTGTGTTTATGATGTGTGTGTTTAATTTTTTGTTTGTTCTGCACTGTCGGGCAGCTGCGACTCTCTTGCCCGTAGCTGCCCGACAGTGCCCTCGTCATCCGTCGGCGCAGCCCGCCGCGCTCTGATCCCCGCAGCGCACCTGGTTCGTTGGTCAGCGGACAACGAGCCTGTGAAGGAAATCTTAGAATGCCTGACGTTTGCCGGGGTTTTGATAGCCGCGTTCACCACGGACTTATTAGAATTCACGCAATTTTTGGTGCATTCTTGTTTAGTCTCATTGTCGCGAAGGACGGACCCCTCGCAGTTGCCTTAGTGGAGAAGATAGAGGATTTCATCTCCACTCTGATGCTGCCGCTCTATTTCGCATTAAGTGGCTTGAAGACCAACATTGGAACAATTAAAACTGGTCAGTCCTCTTGACTTCTCGTGCTGGTTATTGCCGTGGCTTGTTTCGGCAAGATGTTTGGCGTATTCTTGGCTGCGACGGCTCCCAAAGTGAACCCTTGCAAGACGCTCACGTTAGGTGTGCTGATGAACACCAAAGGTCTCGTGGAGCTTGTCGTGCTCAATATCGGAAAAGATCGTGGAGTTCTGAACGAGGAAACGTTTGCCATCATGGTTCTGATGGCCCTCGAGTCTGCGGGAAGCCGGGATCAGATTGTTGCAGCCTTCGAAACCTACGGACAGTTGAGCAAGGTCTGCTACATATCCTAGAAGTTGTCGATTAGTAGAGAACTTTTGTTATTCCCGGCATCCAACTGCACGTGATCCGCTTCTTGAACAGCAACATCGACACTACCATTGGGATCGACGGGCAGCATTCTGATGTACATTGTAAATTTGCAATTTCTTAAAAAATATTATAAGTTTTAAGTATGTTAGGAATTAAAAACAAAAATTCATGCACTTGTAGAAATATTATGTACATCTTTCTAAAAATATTCAATATCCAATTAATCTAATCTACTCTGAATAACTAAATAATCATTAATAAATTATTAGTGAATATATTTTAGAAATTATTAAGATATGATTACAAAATCTTAGGTATAAATCTATTGAATAATATAATTTAAGATCCTGTCTTTAATTAGTTGTCACAGCTAATAAATATCTACTCATGTTTATTTTTATTTTTATTTTGGTGTGTATTAAAAAAAAAATGTACTAACTGTTAAACATGGTAAAATAATCTGAGGATAGTTTGGTGGTAAATATAAATAAATAAATAAATAAATAATCCTTTTTTGTTTAACATATTATTTAAATATCTTACCAGAAATCACATTAATTAGCATAATTTTATTATGTTACTATTAATTAAATAATCAATCAATTTCTTGTTATCACTTAAATCTTCATTACTCAATTTATGGTTTATTACTAATCATTTTTAAAGAATTTAAAACTCAATTATATACAATCTACACATCAATTACAATAAGTCTCCATTGTTGATTTATTTGTTTAATTTTATATTTTATAATTCATTCTTTTTAATAAATTAAATAAATATTTTTTATATAAAACTTAAAAAGAGAATACATTTTGTCTTTCTTTTTAGATCTTGTATTAGCTCCGTGCATTAAAATATGTATTCTCTTTTTAAGTTTTAAAGTGCATTAAAATATATAAACATTTGAATTCCTTAAATACCAAATATTGCAATTCATCAACAGCTTGTTTCAAATAAGCAACAAATTTTCACATTGATTGTACAACATCCCGAATTGATAATAATTCTCTAAATTTGAATTTTTTGTTTTAATTTTAAATGAAAAAGGTACCAACAAGATTTAAAAGAGCTGAATAATCAACCAAATGGTTAATTCCCAATTGAAACACGGTTTCTGTTTTGTTCACAAATCACACAAGATTACTGAGAAATTTTGTATTCTAAGCTGGTTAAATCTTTTCTCTTTAATAAGTTGAATAGAGAAAAAAAAAAAACCCGGAGGATTATGTAGCCCAATGTGAAGAGGTGCATTAGGCTGTAGGATTACTCAGGCCACTTGATGCCTTGAGGTTATGTTAATCAGTATCACAATCCGCACCAGATGCTACAAATTGCAAAATGTAATGTTCGTCGTTTTGTGCATTAAACTTAGGCATGCTTCGGTGGTTTTGTCAGGTATGTAGTTCTGGAGTTTTTGGAAATATTCCAGTAGAAAGCAAGTGCAGAAATGAATCGCAGAGTAGAATTCTCATTCAGGACATTCAGAACATCAATATGCAAATGACTGATCAAGATGTCGACGATGAGTGAGATTGTGGTCTTCAATGACCAATTAATTAAGTAAATTGCTTGGATTATCCGCTTGATTTTGTTTGGTACCACTTTAAAGATTCAGTTTCTTCCCGCAAATTCAAATTGACCATGCCATCTTTCCGTGAGAGCTCGTAAATTGATGTGCCCGTTTACAGAGGGATCGATCAAGTCTTCCGCAATCTCGTCGATGAGGTTCTAATAGACAAAGCTGGAACAATTGCCGGAGTTGAGTATACTAATCGGCTCCCATCATTTCTTTGTTATTGTGTTTTCTTCGTAGGGGGTAATAGGGAGCTCTAGAGATCGGTTTTGAGTCCTAGTGCCATATTCATTCTACGAATTACACCCTTTACCCTCGAAGATTTAGTGAGAATTCCAGTTTATTTATGTGATGAAATAAATAAATAAATAAATAAAAATCCTAAGTCTTGGAGCGAACACGAAACTCTCTGTTTACGATGTTTAATTTCTTGCAGGATTTGCCCTAGCTTGTTTAGTGGTCATTCCTCCACATCATGCTTTAATTAGAAGCATCTTCCCTCTCAGCGACTCCGTCAAATGTAAAGTATCACGAAGGCCGGAATGAAAGTCTTGCAGTTCACGTTAATGTTGTAAGACTTCCATACATTTAACCTCATACCGCATTGCTGGAAGAGAATATGATCAATGCCTCAATGTCATCTTTGCTACGAAATCTCGAGAACAATTCTGGAAGTTGAAAATGTCTTATTAGTAAACTTCTCGAGAACAGCATAAGATGCAAGAACGTACTCTTGCCTGCAGCCGACTAATCAGAATTATTGGCAGTTCGTTCGTGACTTTTTGAATAATTTGTTCGTGATGATTTCCGATAACGAAACGTTATTGAATTCTAAGCATCATTCTTACATTCATGACTCAAGATGATTATCCCAGAACTTCATATAGTAGTTGGTAATATGGACATTATTTGCAGAAGTAAGACAGGCGAAATCGGGAACCAAGAGAGAGAATTGATCATTATCGTGGGTTGAGCCTACTGTTCGTGACTGTTTCCTGCGTCACCTGCTTTGACCATCGGACAAAGCTGGAAGGAAGAAACCTAGTAGTGATGTTTGAATCATCATACACCTTTTCAGGGAGATGATTAAGTGTAAACCCTTGCCTTGGTTATAATGAATACAAATGTGCGATGCTACATGCAGATGTTTCAAATCTGTGTTGGTACTTTCCTCACTGTGGAGCTGTTACTATTGCGGTAATGTCTTTTTGGATAGTTTTCCTACTTCGTCTCCCTCGGACCTTCTGCACTACAATTCTTACTGAAGTATCGTAAGAGCACAGAGAAACTCTCATCATGCAATTTCCATTACTTGCCGCATCTCATCACCGATCGGGTCTGTCATGATCACAGCAGGAAGCTCATTTGATGTCCGAATAACCAATCATAACCAGAAATTGCGATGAATAAAGAGCAGATATTCTTCATTGTACGCCGGCCGCAAATGCCAACTAATCAAAGAAAAGTTCCTCATGTTGAAGATCTCGAAACTGGCAAAAATAATTTGACCAATTAGGTCCCCAGCAACTACCTTAATTCAGCGGCTTTTCCATTGTACTGGGCAGTTACTCTGACATGCAAGCTCCATGAGCATTGCCAAATGCCCTAGAGTCTTTTCATGCGAAAGTTAGGCGCCAGCAAGCCAGAAATACCTCGTGGCCGCTTTCCTTCGCCTTGTCGACACGTTGGTGAAGGTAAATGAGCGCCTCCAAGGGGCATCGCAACTCGCCTCAACTTGCTCTCCAAAGCGGCCACCTCTTTAATGCCCCCATAATACTTTGATGACTGGGTCTTGATCCGCTGTGTAGCGACTCTGACCAAGCTCGAGAGGAAAATCTCCCGGAAACATCATCATCATCATCATCATCAAAATCTGTATCTTAACAAGTTCTTGCCATTGTTGGAAGTAGATTTGAATCAATCCTGCGATCAGGTTCATTGATTGGGTACTTACGTGCTGAACTCTCTCGAAGTTCTTTTGCTGATTGATGGCAATTAATCCAAGTGAAAGTTGAAAATTATCAGGTCTCAGGTTTTTTTTGGTCAAGGTCAATATCAAGTTAGATTGATCAGCAGGTCCTAACAACGGCTGTTTTTTACGCAATTGCTTTGCCTTGTTCATAATTTGTCACGCAGTCTCGCTTGATACCATTCCCCCTGACGAGAATCGATATCCAGATAGGTTTAATGATCCTTTCCTGTAGGCGTAATGCATTGTTACGGACCGCATTATTATTGCAGGCTTAGCTGTGAACACCAAGGTTCTGTTGTCGTGACCAGCCCTGAATCTTTTACTTCACAGTCATTAAGTCGTGCATGTCAACCCTCGTAAACTGTACCTGGAGATTTGTTTTCGAATTAAGATTCGTGAAAGTTTCTGGATGTTTGCGACGCGATTGACGACATGAGAAAAACACCTTAAACAGGTTACATCACTGTTCACAGTCCTCCGCAAGCAAGATGTGCACACTTACCAATGGCTCTTCGAAATGTAAGGTCCAACGCCGAAGGCCTATACGTGACAAGTCAGATTTACTGGACTCGGTTTCCGGAAATTCGCAGTTGTATGTGTTGGTCACACAACCAGAAATCATTCCATGAGATTCCAGAGCTTTTCAGACGTGCAACTGGCAGACGGAATGTCTTGAAGTTCTAAAATTGAATGGTGATGGGTTTTTCACCTGAGGGAGGAAGATGCGCGGGAAAAAATTTAGGCCTGAAGCTGGGTTGGGGCCCGCAACCATGTTAATGCTTCGCACAGGTGGACTAGCAAGCAAGTGTACGATGCACCTTCGACCCTTCCTTCCTCCGCTAACAGACATCGACTCTACGAAATACTAGGGTCCATGCATGAGGACCAATTCCAGTTCAACTTTGTTATACGCCGCGTAATATTCCCTTTTACACTGGCAAATGCAGCTGCATAGATGATTGTTGTAGTGGACCGAATCTGACTTCTGCTTGGGTACACTCCAATCCAGAGCCTCGTCTCACATTCCTGAACGAGCAATCTGCAATCTGCAGCTGGAGCTCATCAACGGCTTGCCGTCGATGACAAGCCCGTCCGCCATTTTGCCTGCCGACAGGAACCCACGTGGAGGGTACATGCCCTTTTAGTCTCCCTCTCGTCTGCTGGTCCACCACAGAATGGATTTCATTGACTTACTCGGCTGAATGGTGGATCTCGCGAAGATAAGATCAAATGGAAGCTCATCTGACTTGGAAGTTGTCCAACCATCAATCGGCTCACTTGAAAGAGTTGTTCGTTGTCTAACCAGCCCATGAATTTCGAGGGCGAAGCTCTTTTTGGTGTTCCGACAGCGAGCTCTGATTGACCAGTTGGAATTAATAAGGGATGAAGTCCTTGGCAATGTTAAAGTGGTGTACAGATGCAGACAACGAGAAGCAAGTAATCACCTAGAATTTTGACTGAAGGTGGATTCAACGCGTTATCGGGAGCCTGTTACATTCTAATGCGGGTCTGTGGTGGAGCGATATCTGGGCTAGAGAGTTTGCTTTTTGCTTTCAACTTCAGTATAAGCATCGGATATTGGTGTTGGCGCGAGGACTCGCTAGCCGAATGATTTCTTACAGACTATAGAGCTACGATTTGGTGAGCAATACTCGTGGCGGCTGGGAGATTTTCTTATGCCTTGTCAACTGCGTCATGAATAGCATGGTGGGCTGGAACGTCGGGCAGCCTGCAGATGTAACCGTGTACCCACATTCCCTGTACTCGATCTTGAGTTCAAACGAAGCCCCTACACTCAAAGGTCACAAATTCGATTTGGCTCTGCCTGCCATGCAAGAAAAAGGTCTTCATACTGATCAAACTGATCGAAACGCATATTGATCAAACTGATCGGAAGGCGCATTTCATCTTGTGTATATTCTGTCGACACTTTGTCCGGAGTTTGATAGATTTCTTTCAACTTTTCAGGTCATTCGCAATCTCGGAGACGGATTGATCAAGTAGCTACTCAAGATGCCTGATAGATCGCTGGCATCCCATTCCGATGTCGGAGTCCAAAGACTTCCAAAGTCCTTGCATGGATCTGGCGCTGCGCTTAAGCTTACCGGGCCCTGGTCCCTAGTGAATAATTGTAGCTCCAAGGGCAGTACGGTGTCGGAAAAGTTCGTGTTGCCGGAGCACCAGCGACCGACACTGAAGCACGATGAGTACACTGACTTAGAGATTCCAGTGATCGACGTGGCGGCGATAAATAATTCCCTTGAAGGTGATGCGACAGCCAAGGAGGCCCTAGTGGCTCAAGTAAGAGAGGCATGTTTAAATTGGGGATGCTTCCAGATCGTAAACCATGACATATCCGAGGAGCTTCTCTCTCGAATTCAGTACCACGTGAATCGGTTCTTTAACCTTCCATTTGCGGAGAAAATGAAGGTTGTGAAGCAAGATGGTTCTGTCGCTGGTTATGGACATGCAACAGTAAAGAATGGCGACGTGCGCCCCTCGTCTGAACGCTTCTTCTTCGCTAACGACGGTTCCGTAGCTGAAAACGCTCAAAAACTGTGGTCCAACTGGGACGAGAATGACTTCATGTAAGTGGCTGATCCTTTTGGTTGACGTCTATACACATTTAATGAGCAGATAGTTATTAAAGGACGAATTGCTCACTGTGTTCGTTGGCGCTTGCAGTGGATCCTACAGCGAGTACTACGAAAAGGTGCATCAGCTATCCGGGAGCCTGATTCGTATCATCGTGCAGGGTCTGGAGGTCGACCCAGTCCATTTTGAGAAATATTGGAAGAATACGAGCGGTCTGCTACTTTGGAATTTCTACCCTGCATGCCCTGAGCCCCAAAAGGCCATCGGCATAAACGCGCACACGGATTTCAATCTCTTGACAGTCCTGCATGAAAACAATGTCGGCGGTCTGCAGATTGAGAAAGACGGCGAGTGGGTCGCTGTCAGACCTCGCCCTGGGGCATTGGCAGTGAATATAGGCGACACTCTTCAGGTAGGATGTGGCAGAGCCTAAACTTCAAGCTACTTTTTGAATAACTGAACACTAAAACCCACTGACTGTCTGTCAAGGCCAAGATACCCTGGTACATTCCGAAGATAGAGTGCCGTAAGGTTAACGACATCACAACCAATGGTGTGGAATTCTCGGAAAGGGAGCTGGTCTTTCAATCCGGCTGCAATCGCAGAGTACATGATTCTCGTGCAGATTATGAAGTAACTGTACCGCTTGACCGTGACGTCGTTGATCGGGTACTGACCTTGCGCTCGGATTGTTACTTTAATCGATCTTAACAGGTTTTGACAAATGCGAAATACAGGAGCGTGCCACACCGGGCAGTTGTGAACGAAACCCAGACTCGCATCTCGGTCGCCTACTTCCACGTGCCAGTGCAAGGCATAGATATTGTCCCCCACCCCGAGCTTGTCGATGAGCATAACCCCAACAAGTACGAGCCCTTCACCATCGATACATACACCAAGATCAAACAGGCGCAGACTCTGAACACGCTCGAGCTCTTCCTCCGGACAGACACTCGGGACAACGGTGTAGTTACAATCGAAGCCCAATCCCACACGACCTGATCGATCCACTCGGACACCGTTCCGAAACAGTCTGACACACCAAATCTAGATTCATTTGCGCTGCTGTGGGACACACCTTCCGTGGCAATGTCGCTCGAAACGGTGTCCGATCGAACACCATTGGAAAGATTTTTCGATGGTAATCAACGGTCGTCTCCGCAGCTGTGAGTTTCCTGAAGTTCAGCTTCTTGACATGCACATTCAGGAGTAGGCCTCGATCAGCATGCAGCCAAACCACAAAAAAGGAAAAAATTGACGATGTGGGTCCTCAGCAGTGAGCAGTTGACCAATACCAGAGTATACGTGAATGTATAGATATAGATGTACAGATATCGATGCACGAGAAAAGCTTCGTAGATGATGAGATGCGTGCATGAGCATGTATTCTTCATAAGTAACTTCAAGGCGAGGCAAAGTCAGCCTTCATGAATTGGCGTTTAGTGTATAAGAAAAGCCTCATTTGTGGGGTGTTAATGCGGCACATAAAGTTAACATTTCTGATTTGGGTACGATAAGCGGCTCTAAACGCAACTGAACTGGTGGAATCATGAAGCACCTTGAAGAAGAAGCACAGAGAGTAAGTGGTAGCCTTGGGCTTTTCCATCCACAAGTGATAAGCCCATCGTTAACAGGAACCAGTCAAGCAGTCTCTCTGCTCTGCATGGTGGGTACATAAATCTGTTTCTATGTTTTTCTTTATTTTTTAAATTTAAAAAAAAAAAAAAAAAAAAAAAAAAACCTCTTCGAGTACTGAAGATAACCACAACTAAAACTGTGAAGGATTTCTAATGAGTTCTTATAAATTAAACATGATACCATTCACATGATTATCAACTACAAACAAATGCTACTAAGTACAATCTTGAGATGGAAATAATCCAAAATGAAAATTACAGAATGTTTAAAGAATAAAAAACCATTCATACACATATATGAAACTTAACACAATGAAAAAAAAACCTGTTACCCAATGGTAAAAAAAACATGCCATGTCACATTCATGGTGTGGAATATGAACACCATATGTGACAATCAAACAATGTGGTAGACTTTACCAAAAGTCTTTCTACAAAAAAATTGAGTCAAGTACAAAAAAGAAAAGAAAAAGAAAAAAGAAAGTTAAAACAAAAAAAATATGAAGTTCAAACATGGTACTTTCATAAAACCAAATAATTGGATTTGACATTTGATATTTTCAGGATCACTTGAATTATCAAATCTAAAATATCACCATTCAAACTTTACTACCCTTGATATTACCCCATGATTCAAACTTTATTACCTCTTTTATGAGTCAAAAAAGGAAACAGATTTAAGACAGGCGAGGCAATTTTTGATATTTCATTAGTAGTTTTTAATAATTCATTTGCTCATTTTTGATATTTCACTTTTGATATTTGGATTTCAAAATCACCCACCTAGCGAGGTAGATGATTTGATGAAGTATCAAGAGATATTTTGAAATACCACTGGATACTTCAAGTTCTCATCACGAGTGAAATATCACCCAAAAAAGCCATGTTTGGACCCCGCAATAGGAGCAAATCACTCAGCAAAGCAAGAGCACCATGCACTCTCTCGCCCATCGCCAGTCACCACGGGGAAACGGCGAGCGAGGGAGAGCGCAAACAATACGCAAGGGGAGCAGAGACAATGCACTGCACATAATCGAAAACAAAACAAAGGGAAGGGAAGGGAGCAGGGGCGAAGTCACGGGGGCCAGGCACACGGCGGCGGTGCGGGCACAAGACAAGCAGGCGATGGCAGCAGCAGCAACAGGGGATGATGGTTGGAAGCTGGGAGCGGTTAACGGAATGCGAGGTAAGGAAGGGGGCCACGGAATGGGATCGGATGGGATTGACCAGGGCAGGGGCAGTCAGTCAGTCAGATCGAGAGCGAGAGACGGTGTCCAGCGCTGCTGCCCCATCATCATCCCTTTGACCGTCTCGCGCCGTCCGTCCGTCCGTCTGTTCGGTGTCCAATTTTACGTGTGTGTGTTTGTGATGCCGTGAACAAACCAGGCAGGCATCATCCCTTTGGGGATGATAGATAGATCATGCCCAGTTTCTAATTGCCCCCCCCTCCCTTCCTCCCCCCATCTTTGCGCTCCTGGCCCCACTTCTGCTCTTTTCCATGCGAGGTTTCTGTGGGAGTTGCCTGTCCGCCTGCGCGGGCTCTTTGTGTGTTCCCCGTTTTCATCAAGCTTGAAAGAAACAGATCAACGGAAAGTTGATGGGGGTTGGGGGGGGAGAGTGGTTAATGGTCGTTGCCTGTATTGATTATGCTGTAGAGTTACGCATGTGGGTTCTAAGTTATGCCTTTCAAGGCTGATGCTGTTGTTGTTGTTGCCCCATGAGCGCCAGCATCACCTCCTCCCTCTGCTTCCACTGCGTCTCCTTCATAGACTTTTTTTTTGAGGCTTCTCCTTTGCTTCTCTGTTGTGGACGTCTGCGTGATTGTTTGAGTGTGGGTGGAGAGCTTTTAGGGCTGGTGGAGTTTCGTGGTGTATTGCGGGGGCCTGGGTGCGATGGGATTGGGTGGGTAGTGAGGACATGGGATCCGGGTGCGTGCGATGGCCAGCTGCAGTACAGATTTCAAGGGCGGAGAGGGCAGCAATCCGCATGGGAATGGAGGAGGTTATATTGCGGGGCAGTGGAGCGTTCTGGGATTTCCGCGCACAGTCGCAGTGGAATTCTTTGTAGGCACCGGTTGGGCGGGATTAGAATTGTTTCCCTCTTGTTTTCTCGAATTTTTCTAAAACCAGATGGGAGCGGGGTGTAGGTTGGGGGACTGATAATTTTCAGGGTTTGATCTCGTGGGTCTCTGCTCGTCGTTTTCCTTTGGTCCTCCCCTGGCGTGCTATTGGCCGCAGCGACTAATTGGAATATGAATAACTACAGGTTATGGGGCCGACGCCCCTCGCAAGCGCCACCCTACCTCGAGGTTCTGCGTGTAGCATCGTTGTGAGGGGTGCAGGATTCGCCAATGCTAGAGTCGGGCATGGCAGAAACAATGGCGTGTTTGCACAGCACAAGCTCAAGGTGTAGGAATTTGTAGGTAATTAGTAGGAGTTTTACAACAGCAATTCGGAGGAGAGTGTATGGCTAGTCACGAGGACAGCGATTTTTCGGCCAAGGCGCTGCACAAGCGCTATGAGGGGCTGGTGACAGTGCGAAGCAAGGCTATCAAGGGGAAGGGTGCGTGGTATTGGAGCCACTTGCTGCCCTTGTTGGTGCAGCACCCAGACTCCGGGCTGCCCAAAGCTGTTAAGCTCCGATGCTCGTTGTGCAATGCCATGTTCTCCGCGTCCAATCCCTCTCGCACCGCTTCCGAGCATCTGAAACGTGGTACGTGCCCCAATTTCAATGGAATAGTGCCGAAGCCACTGGCGTCCCAGTCGGGACCTCGGCTCGCAGGCACTCTCGGTGCCACCACCCCCCGAAAACGTAATGCTCCGGCGTCTTCCCTGTCGGTTGACGATACGCCCTGCACTGAACTTTTGGTGCACACGCCCCGGATGTTGTCCGGGGGTAAGGAGGATCTAGGCGCGCTGGCGTTGCTGGAGGACAGCGTGAAGAAGCTCAAGAGTCCGGGGTTGAAGACGGGGGGATCCCTAGGTGGGCTCGGAGGGCCGAACAAAGCCCAGGTCGAGGCGGCTCTCAATCTTCTGGCGGAGTGGCTGTATGAGTCTTGTGGGACCGTATCATTTTCGTGCGTAGAACATCCCAAATTCAAAGCACTTTTGAGCCAACTCGGTTTGCCGCCCGTGAGCAGGCGCTACCTAGCGGGAGCCAAATTAGACGCCAAATTTGAGGAGGTGAAGCAGAATTCTGAACTCAAGCTCCGGGAGGCTATGTTCTTTCAGCTCTCCTCCGACGGGTGGAAGAAGAAGGAGCCTATCGGCATGGGAGAGAGCCTAATCAATATCACCTTGAACTTGCCTAATGGCAGCACGCTGTTCCGCAGCGTGGTCAATGTGAACTCTGGCCCCGTGTCTGTCAAGCTTGTTGAAGACACATTAGCTGAGGCTGTCTTGTCCATCTGCGGGCCAGCTCCGGAGCGGTGTGTCGGAATCGTTGCGGATGCTGATAAGTATACATTGAAAGCGCTGCAAGGGTTGGAGTATCGGTTTCCGCGCATGGTAAACCAGTCGTGCCAGGCGCAGGGGTTCAGCAATCTGTTAAAAGACTTCAACAAGCATCTCTTGTTACTTAGGTCGGTAGGCAGCGAATGTATGAAGGTATCTGCGTTCTTTAACACTCAGCCGCAAGCTCGAATGTATCTCCAAAAATACCAACGCCAGGTAAGAACGGCATTCTTAAGTTCTATTTGCTGGGTTTCTCAATGCTCTGTTGCAGGTTCTGTTGCATTCACGTTATCCGACGTTGATTGAAGAATACTGATTTTTTGGCAATTCAGGAATACGACAGCTTGAAATTACTACGGACGCCCCCTGATCCTCAGTTCGCGGATCCTCACTACGCCTACGTGCTACTAATGCTAGACGATATTGCTGCGTCTGCACGCGCGCTGCAGCACACGGTGATCGACGACCAATTCTGCCTGCAGCTTCAAGACGATCAGGTAGCGCGCGACGTGACAGGCGTGGTCGGTAGCATGCGGTTCTGGCAAGACCTGGAGGCGGTGCAGGAATTAATGAAGGTTGTGAAAGTGACAGTGAACGATATAGAACAGGATCGGCCGTTGGTCAGTCAGTGTTTGCCGCTCTGGGACGAGCTACGCAACAAGGTGAAGGACTGGTGCGCGCAATATAACAAGGACGAGGCTCCCATTCACGAAATTGTCGAGAGGCGGTTCAACAAGAACTACCACCCCGCGTGGGCGGCCTCATTCATCCTCGATCCTCTGTACTTGGTTCGGGATTCAAGCGGTAAGTATTTGCCGCCCTTCAGATTTCTCACTGCCGAGCAGGAGAAAGACGTGGATCGGCTGATAACGCGCCTAGTTGCGCGAGAAGAAGCGCATATCGCTCTCATGGAGCTCATGAAATGGCGCGCTGAGGGGCTGGATCCGCTCTACGCTCAAGCTGTCCAGGTTAAAGAGCGGGATCCTGTCACAGGCCGGATGCGGGCTGTGAATCCTCAATCCCGGCGCCTGGTGTGGGAGACATGCCTCAGCGAGTTCAAATCCTTGGGCAAAGTAGCCGTGCGGTTAATTTTCCTGCACGCCACCAGCTGCGGGCTCAAGTGCAACTGGTCGTTGTGGCGGTGGGCCTACCGAAACGGGAACTCTCGGCAGGCGGTGGACAAAGCCGAGAAGATGATATTCATAGCGTCCCACGCGAATCTGGAGCGCAGAGATTACTCCAACGAGGAAGAGAAGGACGCGGAGCTTTTCATGAATGGCAATGGCTCTGGGGAAGATATCACAGACGAGGTTTTCATGAACGCAACTTCGTAACATTGGCAAGCAAGTCTTTGCAAATCCCTTTGATACACCTGGACACACCGAAATCTGTAGCCCAGGCTCCACAGCCTGCCGTTTCGTTTTTCGTTGAACTCTGTGTTCGATTGTGTGTACATTTTGAGGTGTTCATCATCTAGTTGGAGAGGAGGGCTCACAATGGCAGACTATTGACCGAGAGAGCAGAATGAGCCGTAGGTGATTGACGTCTCATTTGCGAGTGAGAGGAGCGGGGGATGTAACTTTCCTGCGTCCCCATCGAGGCATCTGGTCATACGGCGTAGTACACGAGGCATGGCATAGGGTTTTGAATATCAAGCGCCTATCCCACCACCCTTACAGACAGACAGACGGACGAAGAAAAGGCAGACAGACACGCTGGTAAAGGTTTTGGTTGTTTCATGGTAAAGGTCATGTCAGGTAAACTTATTTTTTTTCTCGCCAACTTAGTTGGTTCCAAGCTATCAATCAGATGGGCTAGCTGTGCATTCTACAGTGATTCATCACATCTGGGCGCATTCAATCTCTCGTCACAGAACGGATTCTGTAATTTTGGCCCAATTTTGCGTCTTATTACAATTTGGCCGGAAAACATGCTCATTCATTCTACGCCCATTTTTTTTGCTCAAGCTCATCTTCCTCCTAGCAGCAGTTCGTTCTTTCAATTTGTCTCTCCTTGCTAACAGCAGTTGCTGGTGCCTTATTTCATGGGGAGAGATCGTGCATTATGCACTACTCGCTTCTCTGGCAGCGCTGTCACAGAGGATTGGAAGAGGTGGTTGACGCTCCATTGTGTTGCCATTATTCTTTTTGCACCAATATTATCTGTCACAAATCTTGGGTGAAACTATGTGGATTCTATGCATTCTCATCAAATATCAGCCTCCAGCACTGAAATTGTTTCGACTTGCCACACGTTTTCACAAGCACATCTAATTTAGGTCCTGCAGAATGCGTCGTCCGAAGGAGGTCTCTTCACTTCAAATCTCTTCCTCTTCTAGCTTCATGATAAGCTGCAGAATGTTGCCAAGATTCAGAAATGAGTGACCCTGCTCCACGTATCCCTCACCTCTAACCACCGAAGTCCGCAGTTCGTGAAGAAATTTGAACTAGAGACCAGTCCGCAACCCCTGACTCGAGTACTGGGCAAGTGGTACAAGCACTGAATGACGATGATGGAATCGTCTCAGTTAAATCAAGGGCCCTGATTCGTCAACCTTTGAACTTCGAGGTGAGCCTTTTTCTGGCTAGGACTGATGAGAAGCTTTCAGTACAACGAGCCATGAATTGACTTGCAGCGTAGCCTCCAAAAGCTAATTCCTGCAATCTCCATACTACCACCCAAACTCGCAGTTCGGCTGCAGAAAAGCTTTTTCCAATTCACTCGAAATTTTTATTTTGAAACTAATAATAATAGTAATAACACCGAAACTATTGAAAAATACGCTACAACCGATTCCTATTGAGGTTGATGGTCCAGTACTATTTGCATCTTAGGATTCCATCAGGTGATGGGCGCAAAGGCTCCAGATATTCTGCCACCAAATCTTTGTTCCCTTACAAAGCGGTGGGCGCTTTCCCCCACCTGACCTTTCTCCTTCTCGTGAAGAGGGAGGGTTCAAGCATCCAAAGTGCAGCTTGTCACAGCCTTGATCTGGCTCAGCAAGTGCCTTGCACCATCCACCAAGTACTCAATGGTGTTTTTTCTCGTGCACACAGCTCACCTGGAGACCAACCACAGCAACCACCACAGCCCTGATTTCGGCTGGAGCGTGGAATCCAAAGCAGCATGATATTGAAGTTCTGGGTGATTTGAGCCTTGCAGCCTGCGGCTTTACTGAGCCAAGCACCCTGGTAGCATCCCACCACCGCACGGGTAAAATGATGGATGATAAGAGAGCTGCAAGTGTGTGTGTGTGAGAGTGTGTGTGCGCGTGTGTGCGCCGGAGAGTGGAGTGGAGTGGAATGGAATGGGTTTAAATCCTTGGATGGGTAGATTAAACCAATTGCTCAGCTGCGTGGGAGTGGGGGAAGGAGGGAGTGAGAGTCATGCGCTGTAATTAATGATGCGTGCGTCAACGCTTCTCCTTCGCATTCTGACTGCCATTTTTTCGTTGATCCTATCAATGGGATCTTCCTCATCGAATTGTTCCATTCCATTCCATCAAGTGAGGCTTTGACGCAAATATTCCTGCATGACTACCTCATTCATCACTTGCTAAACACATTACTAATCTTTTTCACAACATCAATTTCTGAAGTGTTGATGTTTGCCGAGAAATGTTAGTTTTCCATACAGAAATGTAATTATAAGATTATATCTTTCACAACACGTATCTTGGCGATTGACGTAATGTCTGATCGTTGAGCGGTGGTGACTGATTTGATAAAATCATAACCTGTAAAAATTGCACCTGTAATAACTAGCGTCATATGCTCCTGTAAATCTCAATTCAATATGCTTATGATTTCATATCAACTTTTTTTAGTACTTCCATTATGATAAATTTGATGTTGTATGTTGTAGCCTCACATGGTTGTTTTTAGAAATTAGATATTTCTATGTTATTTAATCTCATTTAAACCATACTTTTTTTCTTGGAAAACCTTAAATTATTCTTACAATGACCACTCATTCTAAATTCAGACTTTTTTCCAATGTCCCTAAAAAGGGCATGATTGTTGAAATTTATTTTCCACCAACTCTATTGGAAAAATCCAAAAAACTATAAAAAAAAAAAACACACAAACAGAAAAGAAGAACAACAAAAATAACAACAGAAAGAAAGAACATCACCATGTCAAAGTAAAAGGACTGTAGAGATATGAATGGGCTAGGCACAAATCTTGTGCCACCCAATGAGAGCATGATTAAACCGTAATTACAAGATTTAACAAGAACATTGCAAAAACTTATATTAATATACAATCGGTTGTTCATATAAACCTCGATAGGTATTTATTGAATAAATACAATAAGCAAGATACAAGTAAGTAGAAATTAGCAAGGTTAGACACAAGAGAAGTGTAGAATGAGATACCTCCTACTTCCAACATCTTTTATTTATAGGTGGTGGTTGCTAATCAATGAGACAACTTCCATCCTCTTAATATTACATCCATTTTTACTTCATCCAATTAAATCCTAGGTTCTTTCTTAACCTAGCCACCACCTTAATTACTTCTTTTCACCCTTTTGATGTCCTTTGACCATCAGCAACTTACTTAAGGTAATACTTACTTACTTTAAGACTCCCACTTTGCTATTGGTCAAAGGCTATTAATCCTAGTGTCTTTATTAACTTCTGATGCCTATTCTTCACTAGTGCTTTTGTAAGCAAATCCGCAAGCATGTCTTCTGTTGCACAATAGTTCATATCAATCACTCTCATTTCAATCTTCTCTCTTATGAAGTGATATTGAATGTTAATATATTTGGTTCTTAAGTGATGTTTTGGATTCTTTGCAAAGGCAAGTCATCTTTGATTGTTACATTTCATTGGAGTTGCTTCCAATTGTACAAGTTCAATGTCTTCTAAAACTTGTCTTATCTATATTGCCTCTATTGCACCATGACTTGCTATCATATACTCTGCTTCCATTGTTGACCTTGTAATTGTTAGTTGTCTCTTGTAATTCCATGAAATTCCTCCCACTCAAACAAAAAATACATATTCTATTATTAACCTTCTATCATTTATATCTCTAGCCCAATCTACATCATAATACCATGCAATACAATATTATCACCTCCACAACACAATTCGAAGTTCAAAGTACCTTTTAAGTACCTCATGATCTTCTTAATAGTTGTTCAATAGATTGATCCAGCCTTGGACATGTATTAACTCACAACACTCACTGCATATGCAAAATCCATCTTTGTACCAACCATTGCATACATAAGTGAGGCTACTACTACCTTGTATGGAACATCTTTCATTTCATCTTCAACTTTAGTAAATTCCTCATCCATGACCTTCATCAACTTCATATTGGCCTCCAATGGTGTTCCAATAGGCTTACACTCCTCCATGTTGAATCATTTCAACACTTCTCTAATATACTTCTTTTGGCTCAATGTAATGATCTTCTTAGCTAGATCTCTCACAAACTCCATTCCTAAGCAATCGTGGAGCTCTCTCAAATCACTCATCTCAAATTCTTTTACTAGCTTTATCTTCAATCAATCCATCTTTTTCAAGGTATTGGTCAAGATGATTAAATCATCAACATAAAAAATAACAATCAATAAGAAGACTTTTGATTACATCATATATATGGAATGATCAGCATCGCTTCTCAGAAATCCCTCATTCATAAAGAATGTATTGATGTGTTGGTACCATGTCTTTGGTGATTGCTTGAGCCCATACAAGGATTTCTTCAACTTACAAACAAGATGTTGTTTATTTTCTTCAACAAATTCTTGAAATTCATCCATGTAGATGTCTTCTTCCAACTTTCTATTCAAGAAAGCCATCTTCACATCTATTTGATGCATCTCTAAGTCCATTGCTGCTCCAATTGCCACAATGGTTCTAATGGTGGCAACGGGAACAAATGTCTCATTAAAATCAACACCAGTAACTTGTGAGTAGCCTTTGGCAACCAATCTTGTCTTATACCTCACAACATTGTCCATTGCATCCTTCTTTTTCCTAAATACCAACTTATAACTAATTGAAGCTCGATTTGATGGAAGTTGAGTCAATTTCCATGTTCCATTGTCCATAAATAATTGATACTCTTCTTCCATGGCTTTCTCCCATTTCAAAGTATCTATAGACTTCATTATATCATACAAACTTAACAGTGTCATGTTGTAACACGACTATATGGTGAAAGATAATAATATGGATCTTATTATAGAAGATCCAAGTTAAAAGATAAAGTAAAAAAATATAGATAAAAGATAGGGAGGTAATAAAACTTTTAGTAGTAATACTACCTTTTTAGAAAAGTGACTTCTACTTTCTTTGTAGGGCCATAAATAAGGCAAATCAAAGTAGTTTGAAAAAATAAATGATATAAATATCTTTAGCAAGAAGTGAAGAGTAAATTCCAGCAAAAATTATTTAGAAAAACTAGATATTGATACCTAGAGGGGGCTGGTTATGAACCAGGATCAAAATCAAAACCTGAGGCACAAAACTAAGTCTCAAAGACGACTTTGAGACTCTTTGGTAAATTGGAGAAAGGGATTTGATAGAAGATTAGATAAGATTTCTATAAGCATTGGTTTTGGGTGATTTGGATCTGTATTGACTTTGTAAGAGCTTTGCAAAGCGAAGGTTTGTTTTGGATGACTTGGATTTTATGAAATAAAATAGTGTTTACGTTTTGGATGTTTTCAAGAGTTTTGTAATAGATCTACAAATGAAATTTTGTGGATTAATGGTTATAATTGTATTCAATATGTGTTGTAAATTTGAGCTTGATCTAACGATTGAATTGAGGGTTATTGAGGTTTAAGTAGGTCAAGGTCTCAGAAAGTAGAATTTTAAGTCTAGTGAGGTTTTTTAAGATTTCTTGTAATCTACTAGTTGGATTGGAGTGAAATTTATGTGAGAGGATATTACACTTATTTTTCTATATATATAAGAATTTTGAGATCAATCGAATGGTA